GACCAGGAATACAAAGTCACTTGTTTTGAAATTTACATACAGAAACGAGCTAACTTCCTGCTTGGGAAATTGAATAATAAAAAGGTCGAAGAGTATCGTTTATCGCGAAGTAACGAAACTTATTAAACCAGCTAGTTCGTTGTTTTCTTATATAATTCTACCGCGCGAGGTAATCGAGATTTTTGTGTCTTGGTTACTTTAAAAATGCACGTAGAAGGGCCCCATGATTGAAAGCAAATCTTGGAAAACTCGCGCGGGTTTCGGGTGAAGAATAGGCCGATTTGATCGCGCGACGTTTCCTTTTCCTGGTTCGGGGAAATGATCAACGCGCACGGGACTCGTCCAGCGAGGATTTCACTTCGATCCGGGCGGTTTCCCGCGAGATATCTCGACCGATAACCGACGGAGGCTTCCGCAAAATGTTGCGCATTGCGTCTTACAACACGCAGTGCCAGCTATAGCTTCCGCCTGGCGGGGTGCATGGCACTCTCTGCAGTGTGCAGGTGGTCAACCTCGTGCTTTTCGTCCGCTCGCCTTTTCTTTCTGTGCCGTGCAAGCTCGTTTCTTTTCCACGATTGCATCTAATACGACCGACCAATGAAATTTTGCATTATCGTTACACGCCCGACGAAAGGAAAATTGGCCATCAGTTATCGCGCACAACTCGAAATAAAGAAAAGTATTTATACTTTTTACGAGATAATAATTCACGAAATCGTATAACGGATTGCTAAATATTTATCACCGGCTTTGGAGACCTTTAAAGATCGCTATTACCTTTTTCTCGAGCGAGCAGAATTTCGTAACCAAATGAACTTTTTCGTTGCTGGTGAAAAATGAAAAGAATTGCTAGAATGGAGGGAATAATTTGTCCAAGGTACCTGTACCGATAAAAGAATCTTTTAAAATAGTAATTAAACTCGGAATCTTATGCAAATACGGCACTTTAATCTCCACCCGTCGCGACTTGACTTTGAATAATTCATTTAATTCGTCGGTTACACCGGTGTTCTAAAATATTGACAAAACGTCATTCGGAATTAATAAAATAACAATTCGGTTTTATTCGGTATTATTTTACTGCGTGAACTTAAGAATCTAATTCCTAAGATTTCAAGCAAAGGTCAAAGCGTACAATTTTCTAAGTCTTCGTTATTGCATTACGCGCTCTGCGACGTCAAAACAAATACGATTTATGTTAAACGCGTTAAAAAAAGGAGAATCAAATAATGTTGGACCAAGTGTATCGTCGACTGTTTTCCTCCAAGCTTTGTGAAAATATTTGTGTATCCCCCGGACGTGCATTTCGGATAAGTAGCACGATCTTGTAAGCGATACAGAGTTGGTTTTCAGCGAGAGTTCTCTCGTCCCGGAAAAAGGGCACGGATATATCCGGGGAAGAGAGCGTTTTTCGAGCGGATCCGGTTTTCTCACTTAACGTTAGTAAAAGCAGATTATCCACGCCCTAGTCCCGCCCTTGCGCGTAAATGCATGCCCTCTCCACATCGGTGTGACAGCTGCGGTGCTTAAAATAGGGGTTCAGTAGTTCAGCAACATGCACCGAAGGTTTTCTATGGCACGATAACGCGAGCATGTGCTGGGATAAATCATCCACCGATTGTCGTATTGAATGAACCTGATTCTTCCTTTCATAAGGTCTCTGCTTGTTCACCGCGCAAACAAACGATGAATAAAAATCGGGAAAATCTGTTCCGCTTTCTACGGTCCGTGATCACCCTATCGAAACAATCAATTTAATTTAGAAAATTTCCAGCGACGCCGCGAACGATCGAACAGTCAGAAAATATCGCGTTTTTCGTTGCTCATAATAAATAAAAAAAAAAAAAATGGAGAACTTGCGTAATTATAAATAATTTATTATTAGACCGATAACGATGTATAAAAGTTTTGTAGACGGAGTTTAACCGCCCTGAAAGAAGATGAAATCATTCCCGTTCTATTTATTGATCGATTTCGGACTGGTTACTGTCCGGCAAAACACGTTGCTATATCATTAACCATGTATACCCTCCTCACGCAATAAAGGGTGAACATACTGATCTTGTCTGCCATTTTGCAACGGCCTCGACCATTTTAAATTTCAATAGCGGGAAAGGGTTCGTTTGGCGCGTAGGACACTGTACGATTCGTCGAAAATCTTTCCCGTGGCTCTTGTTGTTTTCGAGAAGTCGACGAACTTTTCGTTCCCCCGATATGCTTTACGAGAATTCGACACGACTGGGAGGTTTTATAGATCGAATCGGAAATTTAAAGGAGGCGGCGTAAAATGCAGGACAGATACGTCGCCGGTCGGTCGCGTGGTATGCAAAATTCGAGAGTCGTGTGCCGTGCAGAAGCAGCCCTCGTGTGCTCTACTTATTAAAGCTCCTCGAGTATCGTACTTTTAGTGGTCGGTTGCCATAAGCACGCATACGTGGCCTCTGCTTCTTATTTCAGTCCCTCCGCGTTAATGTACCGTCTTATTTCGGAGCTGAGAGAAAACGAGGCGATCGGTTCGTCTTGAGACGAGCGTTGCTTATTATACCGTGCTCCATTTTATCGTCAAAAGTCTCGGGGATACCCTAATGATACAAAAAACAAAGAAATGATTCGTATTAGAATTTGATATTGTTTCATTCTGTGACGTTCTCGATAGCGAGAATGTGCAGCGTGTTTCGAGCATTACGCGATAAGGCTATTTCCTCATTTCCCTGCAAATGTGCGTTCGTGTAATTTAATGTCGACACGGCACACTGGTCGAACATCATATCGCGTGGGACTCGCAGACGCTGATGAATTTCAAAATAAAACAGACGGAGGTTCTTAAGATGCACTTAAGTCTCGCGTGTGTTCTATAAATAAAAGGGCGTGTCGCGTTTATCTTCGACAAACTAATTTCAGTTTGATCAACGATCCGTCGATAATTCAATAGAAACGTTCTTCTTAGACACGATGGAGACGTGCAGCTTTTATTACTAAAAATCCTAATTTTTATACAATGCTTCCTCGTTTTACCAACGTAATTTTAATTATGAATATTCATGCTTTTTGGTAGCTCCTTCGAAGTCAGAGTGTAAAAATAAATACAGTAAAAATTTAAAAAAAAATAAAAGAAACGTTTCCGTACTAAAGAGTAAATATTGCCGGAATATGCACACAAGCATCGTGCAAGTAACATGTACGTCTTCCTGGCGACAAGTGTATTTACCGAGCTCGTAATCCATCGTCGTTCAAGCTGAAACGACTGATTATACGGTCTAGGGAAAATCATCGAGCAAACACAGCCGTTTGACTAAACTGGTGCTTGAAAAAAATAATACCGGGTAATTTGTTTTTCAACAAGACGTTTCTGAAGTACTCTGTTCGGGGAAATTATTACCAGCACGACTATTGATTATTGTTTAGGCGGTATTTGTAATTTATCGATTCGCGGCCCTCCCTCGTTACTCGCGGTCGATTTTTATTTAACGCGAAGACGGTTTCTTTCACTGCGAATGCTTTGGGGCGGATAGAATGTCTCAATCGTCGAGTCGACAGAAATCCTTTTAAAAAAAGATGAGGTCGTAGGAACATAAATTTTGTTACGCCGTTCAGTGTTTTAATTACATGACGTACCCTGTATAGTTTCAATAAAAGTCAAAATAAATCTTAGAACAGCTTAAAAATATTATCCTCTCGATGGAGAAATCCAAACACTTTAGCCACGGGGCGATATATCAAGAAACAGGGGGGGGGGGATAAAACATCCTCCAACATTTGCACAGCTGCAGAGAAAGCAAGTTTTATCAGGAATAACTTTAACGACCGAATCAGTTTTCGATGGTTCGATCGATTAAAATATTTATTCTGGTGGACATGAATGGAATCGAATATATCGAACATCGAAACGATTAAATGCAACTTAACAATGAAACATCTGCCGACGCGATACGAATTAAATCGGTTAATATAAAAAAATATACCGTGTGCAAACCACTGGGACCAAGATCGATGGAAAAGAAGAAATTGGCAAACCGCAAGATGCTTTCGTACTTCTGTTCCTGATATTGAATACCACACTTCAAGCATTGATTTCTCAAAATGAGAACTCACACTACCCTCATTGTCGAGAGTTCATTCACTACCGTAGAATTTTTATTCAATACGTTCTGTGCTATAGAATCTATAGCAGTGGTTTTCAAACATTTTCAAAGATGTCCCCTGAAGCGAGAGAGACGATATATGTTAATTAATTCGAAATCGAGTTAGTTAGGAAGCTACGATGTGAAAAGACGTTGTACATCGTTCACGTTGGAATTCACTCGACTTCTGACTTCTGTAATGTTGGCGCACCAGGGTTTATTATGCCCATATTGGCCCCCCCCCACTTCCCTTATAGATTCCAACGAGTTCTCTAATGTTATATTTCACGGTGGACACGAGCATCATCCTCGAATTCCACGCAACAACGTTTGTTGAGTCATCAGGTTGAAGCGCGCGTAATTTACGGTGTACCAAAACGATGAAGAGAAGAGAAAAGAATGCGAACAGCCGGATGCCGTACAGTCGAGTCACATGGACGTAAACCGACACGTGCACCCTCTTTTCTGCCACGCTCTGATGATTTTAAGACGAGGGCGAACGCAGCACTGGACTTTCTCATCGTACCGACCATCTACGCAAATGTTTAACACGTTTCCCTCGATTGTTCCTTTGTTTCGCGATTAATTGTTCCTACGACGGCAACGAAGCCCTTCGAAGAACTCCTTTTTCGAACGTCAAGATGATCGATCAACCGTTAATTTCACCTTAACTCTCATTAAGCGCTAGTCTCTTGTTTAGAGAACGTTTTCCAGTGAATTACATTGAAAAATCGTTTACCTTTTTCCTCTCAAAGGATTTACTAAAAAATATTACTCGGCTTTAATCGCGACGCTGTTACAAAATTAATATTCTCGCGCAATAATAGCCAAGGTGGAACCGTATATTAAAATTTTTTTCTCTTGGTTCTTTTTTTGCAGAGACCCTCCAGGAACCGCGCTTCACCACTCAGCCTTCCAGCAGCGGCAATATTCTTAGCGAAAATCGAACGAAATTTCTGCAGTGTCAAGCGAGAGGTGAGTACGAAATACCCTTGGCTCGGACATCTCGAGAGATTCGAGACGATCTGAAATTTATTAAGGACCCGTTCATACATTTTCAGAAGCACAGTGGTTATTGAAAAATTTGCCCAACCCTCATAGGTTCATAGCTTTTTGTATTCTAATTTCTTAATGTTTACGTATCCGTTACTACTGTTTTATTTGCTTCGAAGTTGCTTTGTCGCCAAATTTTCAAACGCCTTCGCAGTGCCCCATTGTTCTCATGAAATATCGAGTAACAGGCGGATGAGACGGTGACCAGATGAAGCCTTACAGTTGCGGCCTGGTGCCGTAACTTGATAGTATGACCCTGTACTAATAGTATTAGATCGCAGTATAGTGCATATGCCTCGACCAAACGGTGAAATACCCATGGTATCCTTGGGAAAAAATTAACACGTTAAAGCGTGTAAATCGTGGTAATTCTCTGGGCACACGCTAGAAGCCGTAAACATGAGATCACGACTTTCCACATTTATTTTTCTGCAACTTTCGTTAACACGTTCAACGGCCGCTGTCACGCACACGTGACTTCACTAGCCAGCAGTCATCATCGATCACTGTTCACCGCCAAAAGACATCTTTGCATTAATCGTGCTCTGCTTACAGGACATCCTCAGCCGAAGTACAAATGGTTCAAGGATGGGGTGCCTCTCAGCAACGAGCTTACCTCGGAACCATATTTTCGAATACAAAGTACACGCAGAGAGGACGCGGGAGTGTATCACTGTGTCGCCACGAACGACGTGGGGTCCATATTTAGCGAAAGAATTACATTCGCGGTAGCGTGTACGTATCAATCGTAACCACACGTCCTGGAACCCCTGAAAGCTTCGAAATTTTTAATAGACTGGCTAAGAATCACGTTCGAAAATAATCAGTAACCTGGTGGATCACGCTTGCATTGGATTCGATAACTTTTTAAATCGTCAAATTTTCAAATTTATAAGTAAACAAGATCGGTACCTTGTCGTTCACCTGTATGCGAAATCTGCGAAATGTGTTACCGCGCGGAATGAAAATAATACTGTAACGTTATCCGCAGATATGGGGTTGTTCGAGGACCTCACAGAGAGAATAGTAACCGTAAAATCGGGCAGTGCAGCTGTTTTAACACTGCCTCCTGTAGAAAGCCATCCTGCACCTGACGTTACGTGGTTCGCGTCGGACGGCTCGTTGTTGTACGGGATAAAATATGCGTCCGCTCATCATACTTTGCTCATCTTGAACGCATCCGAGAGCGACGAAGGCCTGTACAGGTTCGTGTCCTTCTATCGCATGGATTTTACGTTATCCTTCGAAAGAGAAATTATTCGCGCGCTCATAAATCATTAAACCCAAATCTCCTGGACTATTATGCTCGAACAAAGTTTCCAGGTATGTACGAAACTATTTTTTTCACGCTGCTTTTGTGCACCTAACAGGGCCAGAGCTATTAACACACAGTTGGGCAAAGAGGAGAACAGTCCATTTTTCAAGCTGCAAGTTACGGGAGACGCGAACGCGGAAGTGGCACCCACTATAATAGTGAAACCGCAGGACACGCAAATAATCAAAGATCAGGATGTCACTTACATACATTGCATCGCGAATGCTAGGTAAGCGCGAAGGTGTTCATGCAACTTCTTTTTTTTTTTATGAATTTGCGATTTTAATAATTATTCTGTGTATTTAAAATTCAACGAATGTTATAAGTAGTTGCTTGGACGATTTTAGGTCGCTCCACGAGTTACGTACTCTTTGGACGAAAGACGGGATTCCGATCGAGAACTCCAGGATATCGTACAGCTTTAATGACTCGTGGAACAGGACTTTGGCGTTGATATCGGCGAACATAACTTATACAGGGGTGTATTCTTGTCACGTGGATTTGAGGAGCGGTGGATACCCAACGGTGAACGCGAGCGCAAAAGTTGTCGTGTATGGTAAGAAAGAGTGAAGATACAATTCGTGACAACGAAGATTTCAGTGGCTATTGGATTATTAATTATACTTGTTTTATGTCCATTCAGAGAGACCAATGTTCATAACGGAATTAAAACGAGAAACTCTTAGCGATTATGGATCAACCGTGACGTTACCGTGCGATGCTATTGGTGTTCCACCTCCAAAAATTAGTTGGTTCCGTAATGCTGAGCCTGTTGATCATTTACTTGGATCCAGGTATAAGATTTGGACACCTAATTAGCTATTCTTACCGATAATTACCCCCTTAATAGATTATGTATATTCGATATACCTTTTCTTATCAGTTAATAGTTAACATATTTCCTAATCTCATACATCATGTAAAATCATTTAGTGAAATCGAAATTTTCCTTAGGTTTCCTGTTTGTACGTCTATTTACAGATACGCAATGGAAGAAGATGGCTCCTTGACAATTAAAAAGTTAACAATGAACGACTCTGGAATGTTTCAATGTCTTGCTTCCAACGAAGCTGGCGAAGCATCCAGTTATACCTGGTTGAAAGCTAAAAGTTAGTACGCCCATTGGTTCAGAGAGATCTGTAATTTACTTTATAATTATTTTGTTGTTTGTTTGTTAGTTACCCGATATTTGTTTACATTTATTATAAATGACGTATTTTCTGTGGGGCAGAAGGATTAGAAAGCAGACTGAAAAACAGAGTTATCCGCTGGGCAGCTGGCTACAATGTAGTCAGAGTTCGCCAATCTGATCGCCGTATTAAGTTCTCTCGATATCCAGACAGTAAGATTCTGATGCCAAGAAATACCCACGTTTTGAGATTACCTAGGCACATGCTTGAAGAATGCATATCACACCACAATGTTTGCTTCTTTCAGCTGTATCCGTGTTTTTCCCCCCTGGTAGTTATACATATAATGAATACATTCACAAAGCACGAGGATTCAGCAGCGTACACAACACGTTTTTTCTCAAGAACTCATAAAAATGTTAAAAATATCAAAATAAATCTAATGCATTACAGTATTAATTTCATTTATAAACTACGAATATTATTTTCATAGAAATACAAAAAATAATATACTTTGCTTGTTATAAAAAAAAATAATTAACTTACATTTATCAGCGTGTAAACACTTTTACAAATTATTTTCAAATTTTGCACGTTTATACGACACAACTAGCAGCAATTAAATACGGTATAAGTAGCACGTTTTACCTAGAATAGGAATCAGTTTGTAAAACGGAATTGTAAAAGTTAGCTATTTCCGTAGATACCTTAGAAAGTATACTTAAATTTTAGAGATAACGAGGTTTCCATAATAGAACCCTTATTATTGCAAAATAAAATATTCAGGTATGGGGAAATTCAGCGTTTTCCATTATATAATAATAAGAAAATTTTTACATTTAAAATATAGAATTTAATTAACTTAACGAAGTGTCTATAAATTACATATTGGGAAACACTGAACTTCAAGAAGTTTATTTTCTATGACCAATTGTTTGTTTCTGCATTTTTTTTCTTTTTTGCGTGCATGTGTTAATTCGTCATTGTTGATAAATAAAACGAAAATATATTCGTGTCGTTGCTTTCAGCGTCTGGACCAATCATGGAAAATGGTCCTCAGAATTTAACGATATTAGATGGAAAAGATGCAACGCTAACGTGTAATGCTGTGGCAGCTCCCATACCCAACACTACGTGGATTTACAATGGTAAATAAATTACATTTTAGATGAAATTATCCAGAGAAAATATTGGATGTCTTCCTTGATTCGTAGATACGGTTCTCGTGGAGATCGCAGGCAGAGTACAAGTTTTAGATAATGGGGATCTTTTAATTGCTGCTGTGAAACCAAACGATGCAGGAAAATACACGTGTATTCGAGCTAACGAAGCTGGCTCTGTGAATGGTTCCGCATATCTTACTGTTTTAGGTAAGAAGTAATTCTAAAACAAAAATTTCATATAATTTATTATGCAAATACCTATAAATTTAAAATTATTTTTATTTTCTCCAGTACGGACACAGATTATTCAACCACCTGTTGATACGTCTGTACTTCTTGGATACACTGCGGAATTACAGTGCAAAGTTTCGAACGATCCAAGCGTTCTGTACGATATAGCTTGGTTTCATAATTCACAGTATGTACACTGACAATGATATAACACTAATAAATGTAAATTGTATCTTCTAGAGAAAAAAATATTGAAATTTTGCAGAGTAATAAATACGCAAGCCAGTCAAAGAGTGAAAATGCGTAACGATGGCACGTTGGAAATAGTCGCCGTCCGAGCTTCCGACGTAGGTGAATACATGTGTTCAGTAGTCTCTCCTGGAGGAAATGAAACTCGATCAGCGCGTCTTAGCGTAATCGAATTGCCCTTTGCGCCAATAAACGTAATGGCCAGTCGAGTCGAGCGAATATCTCCCCGTACGATAAACGTTAGTTGGGTGCCTGGTTTTGATGGAAACAGTCCAACCAAGAAGTTTATAGTCCAGAGAAGAGAGGTTTCCGATCTTGGTAAGTTAATGTAAATTGCAGTTTGGTGCAAAAATAAAACTTCCAAATAATCTCGTTTGTGCAGGACCTATACCTGATTCTGCGCTAAATTGGATCACCGAAAATGATAATGTTTCGGCGCAAAGTCGTTGGGTGTTGTTGAACAATTTGAAAGCCGCTGCTGCGTATCAGTTTCGAGTGAGCGCGGAAAACAGTGTTGGCGAAGGACCACACTCCGATCCTAGTAATGTAGTAGCTCTTCCTCAAGAACGTAAGTATAATTGTACAAGGCCTAGTGTTACGTTTCCAAAATAGGAGAGAATTTTAAATTTTAAAAATTCTAATCAAGTCCATTGATTTAATTCTAGCTCCTAGTGGGCCACCGATGGGGTTTGTTGGCTCCGCTCGATCGTCGTCGGAGATAATAACGCAGTGGCAGCTTCCATTGGAGGAGTATCGAAACGGCCATATTTTAGGATATATGTTAAGATATCGTTTGCACGGTTACAACGACAGTCCATGGACGATACAGAATATTACCAACGAGGCACAAAGAAATTATCTCATTACCGATCTGATTACATGGAAAGACTATATTGTGCAGATAGCAGCGTACAATGATAAAGGCGTCGGGGTGTTCACCGAGGGTTTGAAGATTAAAACTAAAGAGGGAGTGCCGGAAGCTCCTCCGACCAACGTAAAAGCGAAAGCTATCAATTCTGTCGCGATAAAAGTTTGGTGGAAGCCACCGAATCCGCAAAAGATCAATGGAATAAACCAGGGTTACAAATTGCAAGCCTGGGTGGGCCATAATTTTACAGAAGCAAACGAATACAAGTCGATGACCGTGCCACCTAGTCTGTTCGATCCTCTCGCAGAACAAAGTGCCATTATGACTGGGTTGAAGAAGTATACCCTGTATAATATAACCGTGTTGTGCTTCACCGATCCAGGCGACGGTGAAAGAAGTTTGGCGGTTCAAGTCCGAACACGCGAAGACGTACCTGAAGAAGTAGAAAATTTACAGTTCGAAGATATAAGCGATCGATCGCTTACCGTAAAATGGAGTCCTCCGAACGAGAGCAACGGGATTCTCACGCAATACCAATTAAAGTATATGATCAAAGACCTACCCGATTCTCAAAGGGCTGACAATATAACGGCAGACGTTCTGTCACTGAAAATTGAACATTTGCAAGCAATGACACATTACAAGTTCGAAGTAAATGCTTGGACCTCCGTGGGCCCTGGGAAACCGAGAGTCGCTGTCATCCAATCGGGAGTCGAGCCTGTTCTTCCAGAACCACCCACCAAGTTGGCGTTGTCCAATATAGATGCGTTTTCGGTTGTTCTACAATTCACACCGGGATTCGATGGCAATTCGTCTATAACGAAGTGGACGGTGCAAGCGCAAACGACTCGAAACACTACCTGGTACAACATATACGAAGTCTCAGATCCTGATGCTAGTACAATCACTGTGGGTGGCCTAATTCCTTTCATGCAATACAAATTACGATTAATCGCTAACAACGTGGTTGGTGCGTCTCAGCCTTCCGAGCCAACGAAAGAGTTTCAAACTATCCAAGCACCGCCGTCGCATCCTCCCAGAAATGTAACGGTTCGTGCAATGAGCGCTACGGAATTACGCGTCAGGTGGATTCCATTACAGCAGATAGAATGGTATGGCAATCCAAGAGGATATAATGTTACTTATAACGAGGTGCGGACGAATACATCAAAAAGCATAACTATAGAGGATCATACCGCAAATTCTTATGTATTAGAAAATATGGAGGAATATGCTCTTTACGAAATCGTGATGCAAGCATTTAATGACGTTGGCTCGTCTACACTGAGTCCCAAAGCAGTTGAAAGGACTCGTGAATCAGTCCCTTCGATGGGGCCCATTAATGTAGAAGCAAATGCAACATCTTCCACAACTATACTAGTAAGATGGGGCGATGTTCCTATAGAACATCAGAATGGACAAATAGAAGGATTCAAAGTCTACTACGGAGCAAATGCTAGATCAGCATTCCAATACAAAAACATTCCTAGTAACACTACATTTACGACGACTTTGACGGAACTTCGAAAGTTTGTTCAGTATCATGTACAAGTTTTAGCTTTTACTAGGCTTGGCGATGGAACTCTAAGCACCCCGCCAGTTAGAGTACAAACATTTGAAGATGGTAAATTTCATTGTTCTATTTGAAATTATCGTCGTGTTATAAAAATAAAGTAACAAATTTAAATTGCTGTAGCTCCGGGGCCTCCTTCGAACGTATCATTCCCTGATGTTAGCTTTACTACTGCCCGCATCATTTGGGATACTCCGGAAGATCCAAACGGAGAGATTCTCGCCTACAAAGTTATGTTTCACCTGAATAATAGTCAAGATCATCAATTTTCTAAAGAATTTCCTGCATCGGATAGAACTTTCAGGTATAATTAGTAATATAAAATGACATTGGTCGGCTTTAAAACTTATTATATTAAAGACATTTTATATATATTTTTAAATATATTTTTAGTGCAAATATTAAGATACTTTAGAAATTCATATTTTCATATTATGTTTTCCAGAGCTACTAGTTTAGAACCGGAAAAATATTACATGTTTTCTGTAACCGCGCAAACAAGACTGGGTTGGGGTAAAACAGCGTACGCTCTTGTTTTCACAACAAACAACAGGGAACGTCCCCAGGCGCCGTCGATGCCGCAAGTAAGCAGATCGCAAGTACAAAGTCGTCAGATAACGTTTACCTGGACGCCTGGTCGCGATGGATTCGCTCCACTACGGTATATAATCAAATCAACTTTTATGAACATAGCGTATAATTTATAATATAATATTTACATTTAAAATTGTATTTTTTTTAGTTATTACACGGTGCAACAATCAGAAAATTCAGGACCATTTCAAATTATTCCCGAAAGGGTGGAACCGACCTTAACGTCTTATACAGCAAATAATTTGAAACCCTTCACGTTCTATCAATTCCGTATACAAGCTACTAACGATATAGGTCCTTCAACTTGGAGCACAGAATCTGTTCAAGTTCAAACTTTACCAGCTGGTACGTAACTTTCTCTGTTTATATAATTTAATGAATAAAGACGTAGGATTGTTGTAATATGAATTTACAGCACCTTCTCGAGGTGTCACTGGATTGAAAGTTGTTCCGATAACAACCTCTAGTATAGAGGTTCATTGGAATGCAATAGACGAAGTATACTGGAGCGGAGATCACGAAACGGGTGGTTATCGCGTTATTTATCAACCAGTTTCTGATTTTCCAACGGCCCTTCAAGACACGCCAAAGGAAGAAGTTTTAGGAATAAAAGTAAGTATAATTCTAAAAGTATATTTCTAAAATTTTAAGTAAATTTTATTGTTAAATTATAGGCTACAAAAATTGTCTTAAGTGACCTAACGGAAGATAGGTATTACGAGGTAGTGGTACTACCCTTTAATTCTGAGGGAGAAGGTCCATCGAGCCCTCCAGTGACCGTGTATGTTGGAGAAGCGGTTCCTACGGGAGAACCGCAACATTTAAAAGCAGAACCAATTTCTTCTACGGAAGTTCAGTTACGTTGGAAACCACCCCAAGCTAACATGCAGAATGGAGATTTATTAGGATATAAAGTAATGTTTGCTATATATATTTATAAAAATAAAATGATACTAAATTATATTTTCTCGAGTATATTCATTTACATTTCTCGTTTCAGATTTTCTATTTGGTTACCGATTCTCCTCAAGAACTGGAGAACAAACAAGAGGAAGAAATAGAAGTCGTGCCAGCGTCATACTTAACGCATAGCTTAGTTTTTCTGGATAAATACACAGAATATCGTATCCAAGTTTTGGCATTTAATCCTGCCGGTGATGGGCCACGGTCTCCGCCCATTACCGTCAGGACTAAGCAGGTAAATTCATAATCGAATGAGATTAATAAAAAAATACATTATAAAATCACATTAAACTTTATTTACAGGATATACCTGGGCCACCTCATAATCTACAGTTTTCAGAGATTACAATGACTAGTCTTCGTGTTTCTTGGGAAGCACCGAAACTACGTAACGGTGAAATAGTTGGTTACATTGTTACTTACGAAACAGCAGAACAAAATGATCGTAAGTTTTTTAAATTATTCTAGATACTTGACGCATTGTTGATCGCCCATTAATAATGTTTTGTGCTATTCAAGGTTTTAGTAAGCAAGTTAAACAAAAAGTAACAGAAACAAGTTTACTAATCCAACCTCTAGAAGAGGAAGAGACGTATACCTTCATGGTTCGCGCACAAACCATTGATTTTGGACCACCCATATCGGGAAATGTTACAACAGGTCCGCAAGAAGGTTCACCGATAGCGCCAAGTAATCTTGCTGTTACTAAAACAGTGTCTAGCGTCGAATTACAATGGACTAATGGAGCTTCTGGAAAGGGACCGATTTTGGGATACTACATTGAAACACGTCGAAAAGGTAAGTAAATAAGGTACTTCAATTGCGAAAATGAATCAGTGACGGTACGTCATAAAACTAATCAAAGAAACGTTAAAAAGTGTCTGTAAAAAATTAAGCATTTACGTGAATGAAAGATAACGAAGAATATTAGAATTATTTTATTATATGATTTTGTATCGTTAATATAAAATTACAAAATGGTATTATTTCGATTACTAATATTATCTTTTTTGTAATGATATAGCAATGGAAGAATGGCAGCATTGTAAGTGTCAATGCACGTAAATATATTGAGCGTCAGTTATTGTATTAGATGGTCTCAACAGTATAATATGATTTGTTAGTGTTAAAATTGGCTTTCTGTTTGTAATAATCTGTGACTAGAGTTTTTTTTAGTGGTATTTGTACTATTGATTGCATGATAATGTCATAGCATGACATTTTTCATAAATTCTATTAAGATATATGAAGATTTTTAACATTGAATGCCGCTGTAATTTACTGTAACAAACAAATAGCTGAAGTTTGACTTATTAGATAACAATATTCCTACAGTCTTAACTTATCAATTCCTACATCTAATATTTTATCAACGTCCTTCAAATATACATACAATATAGAACGTACAACGTAACTTTGCAAGTTTTCAATTGTTTACCAAATCAGTATCAGTAAATGGTTTAACCAACTGCGTAGCAAACCCACTGAAATGAAACTGTTTATGATAAATCTTTTATTGCAGAAGAAATGTGTTTTGTTTTTCTTTCGTTTTCTTTTGCAAAATACAATTACAAGAAAACCTGCAGAAGTTTTCGGCTGCGTTGAAATCCCATCGTTAAAACAAACTAAGCATTATTTGCGTTCGTGTAATTGTAGATGACAGTCGTTGGCAGACAATAGTACGCAGTAGTAATGGACCATTAACAGAATATTCGGTATCCTATCAAAATCTACTGCCGTCTACGTCGTATCTGTTCAGAGTAATATCGTACAATCGTTACGGCATCAGCTATCCGGCATATTCTACAGAAACGGTAAATAATACAGACGAAGGTATTTGCCATGCACCGAGCTTAATGTGATTGTTACTTTTATAGATATTAACTCCATCAAAGCTGTATCTTGAATATGCCTATTTACAACACAGACCGTTCTACAGACAAACTTGGTTTATGGTTACTTTAGCTGCTGCCTCGATTATAATCATTATAATGGTCATAGCGGTGCTATGCGTGAAAAGTAAAAGTTACAAATATAAACGTAAGTTTTTGCACACAGAGTCTAAATCAACATCAAGAAAGATGAGAGTTTAAGAAATGCTGATCTATATAATGCAAGCGACATCGATTAACGGTAATGGAATATTTGTTTCAGAAGAAGCACAAAAAACTCTCGAGGAGTCTATGGCAATGGACACGGATGATAGGCAAGAATCTGATTTAGAATTATATAGATCGAGACAAGGAGGAGGTGGAGCTATCAACATGGCTAGTGCTTGTGGTACTTTGGGTAAAAGAAACACTCTGTCAAGAAAGTCCATGCACCCTCCTCCTCCTGCAATGCTAGGCAAATCACCTCCTAGACCCTCACCAGCGTCGGTCGCTTATCACAGCGATGAAGAAAGTCTCAAGGGGTACGATGAAAATCCCGATGATAGTAGTGTTACAGAAAAACCTTCTGAAATTAGTTCAACAGATTCACAGGTAAATATTTTCTTGAATAATATATAAAACGTATACAGGTTGAGCATACCACATTACCGCGGCAAATGTATTTAATTTGTACGTTTTACAGGGATCTGAAAGTGAGAATGAAAGTGTACAGTCGGATCCACATTCCTTCGTAAATCATTACGCTAATGTAAATGATTCTCTGAGACAGTCGTGGAAGCGTCAAAAACCAGTTAGAAATTATTCATCATACACCGATTCTGAACCCGAAGGTAGTGCTGTTGTCAGTTTAAACGGAGGTCAAATTATTATGAACAATATGGCGAGGTCGAGAGCCCCTTTGCCTGGCTTCTCGTCGTTCGTATAATTCATTTTTTAATGAAAAGCTTTTTATTAAGTAGATAGGGTGCCGGTTTAACATAACGACACTTTAAATCGTTATGCGACTATTAAGTTAAAATGAATTTGTGCTGAGTCAGGATTGGTTCCAGTATTTTAAAATTATTTAAGCGAATTGTTACTTTAGGAGAAAGAGTTGAAAATTACTAGACATGTAAGGAGAAACTGGTTGTTAAAATTTGGATCGTTCTCGTAGACTAGGGATAGTTCGTTAGAATTTTAATAGCTCAGCACTGAAATTGATATATACAGAGTTAAAGACTTACGTTGAAACACGTATTCATGAGTGTTTCACGCACGCTGACATTTCGTATAGTAATTTTAATGCTTCTGGCACCATCATATTGTGATATATTGAGATACATATTATTTATAATTTTAGATAAGGTCGTAATGTGTATAATGAATATTTTTACTTTTGTTAAGTAAATTTAAATCGGAACGCTGCACGGATCTCGAATAATGCAATGCTTGCATTTTTCTAAGTATAAGAAGTATACTTCTAAGCCATCTGTTGACGTGACGTATAAAAATGCAATAGAATAATGTTATTAGTTAAACAAAGAACAATATGAAAACGAAAACTGCCAGAGACAACCAGGTAGCAACTATTAAAATGAAAAAGGAAACAATATTTTAATACTAAATTAATATGAAAAGTACGATGAAATTGCAATCCTTGTTAAAAACTTTTAGAATAAATACTTATTCAACGAACGCATTGATCGTAATATCGCTTGTCAATGCAAGTTTTATAACTTGAAAGAAGAGATCTCTTTAGTATTTCTAATTCAATTTTATAAAGTATCTGTGCTGTAAGAAAGGAATTAGAAAATGTAAAAGATCAATTTAGATTTATAAAATAATTCACAATCAGGCCTATCATATCAACTTTTAATACACTAAAGATTCCTGAGTCTGATAATGTTATTGTATTAAATAAATAGTAAACATATGAATGTTTACGCAAACTGCGACTGCGTGCATTTCTAACTATTTATAAGTGACTTCTTAATACTTTAATAAATAATGTACATAAAACTTACATTAATTAAAAGTTAGCAATATATATCGGTACGACATCTGTACATTTAGTGCACAGCTTAGGTAACGTTAGGTAAAAGTTTATGCCGATTAATCATATATAACAGGTATTTATCTTATTTTTCAATAGATACTTATCAGTTGTCTCCATTATTTTATAAAATCGTCGAATGAAAAAGCAAGATTTAATACGTCTACGTTTGCATATGAGAGATATATGCAATTTGTTTAATTTTTAATAATATTAATTCATTCATTTGTAGTATATAATATCACTCTTACAGTATTGCAAAACATCATCATACACAGATTTATTCAATTTAGGACAGTTACACTTTTTACCATAAAATATTTACTCACTGTAATTATTCTTCCATAGGAAAGACAGACATTAAGCGCGAGAAACATTTCAGACTGATACTGATACTGATGTATATATGAAATGTTTTTCTTTGTTTAGTACCAATTTTATAATAAAAGGCCATAGAAACGATACAAACTAAATGTTTCAAGTTTGTAGAAAACTGAATAAATTGGGAAAAATATTCTGTGACAATATGCGCTGAAATTAAAAAATATACACACATTGAAAATGAATGGACATGATTGAGTACTCAAAATTATGACAATTATAGTATTATCATATTTAATAAAGCAACTATTAATTATAAATGAGCGATAAAGAAAATTGGTAAATTAAACTGAAAGTTTGTATTTACAGGACAATTTTATGTAATTATGCTCGGAATATTAATTACTATCTGAAAACCGTAATTAATATGTGTCATAAACTAGATTGCAAGTTATTTGGTAAACATTTGCTTTTAAAAAGATCTGTATTCTTATATTTTATTACATGACATTATTTCTTGGTACTAAAAAACTTGTTTTCTAGTTTCCACAAATTATATAGGGTTAATTTTACTATTTACTGGTATCAGTCATCGATCAGTACCGTCCTGTGTCATAGCGGAACATTATTTTTTCTCCCCGAGATTATGAAATTGAAACATTTTTGAAACACTGCCAATAAACATTTCAGTTCAAGAATAAAAGTATTTCTACATGCATTTCTATGTATCGATAACATATTTAATCATCATATTTAATACATCAAAGTGCATTTGGAATTATAATATACCTGTACAAGAAATTTCAAATACATGTTAATCTTTTAATAAAATTTATGTAATTTTTTCGATAATGTTTTTTCGTCATTTTGGCCAATAGTTTGCTTCGAAATTTGTCAAAATTAGAAGTAAAAAGAAAGTACTCGTGCCAACAGTGATTTTGATTCAATAGATGTTTATTTATACAAAATGTTTTTCACATGCATTAAACCATTTCTTCAATTTTTGTGGACATTTTTCAGGAAATACTTGTTTAATTATACACCACACAGCAATATCTGCTATATCTGGCTTTTCTTTGTTCGACCAATTTCTATCTAACTTATCAACTATCGATGACAATACTTCTTCTTTCTTTTTTAACGATTCTTGAAATTGTATACTGTGACACAAATCTAATATCAAGTCGATCGTATTTACCACTTTTACACAGTCGGAATTTTCGTAATTGTGTGAATTTAATAACCTACTTACATATTTTAAAAAATTCGTTTCACCGGTTATGTGGTAACCATGCAGGCCACATACAAGTTCAAGATCTTCAACTGAAAATAAAATTAATCATAAGTCTGTATTCCTTACTATTTAAAATATTTTTACAAATACGAATATACATTACCATCTTTCCAGATCAATGATAAGTTTACAACATAGTTTTTAGGAGAATTGTTAGTTTCTTGATGGACTGTGGGCACTTCTCCAATAATACTCGAATGAACATAAGTTTGTACTTTAATATCAGTATCCTTCCACACCTTTTGCAATGCTGATATAAAATAAGGTGGCCTTTTTGGATTCACATTGGTAATAAGATTTATACTAACTGGCTCCTGTAAAAAATCAATTTATTGTTGTGCTAACTTTTTTTCAGAGTTCTGTTTGCAAAATTATTTAATATTGTAGTAAGTCTTCAACTTAAATAATTCATTTGTTCTAGACCATCTTACATAAGTTGAATTGTATAAATATGGATATTCCGTAGAGTGAAAAATGATTGAATAATTTATGTATAAAATAATTTCTGCTTAAAATATATAAGGACATAAGTAGGAATGCATTGTATATGATGTTAACATTACCTGATATTCAGGACATTTATCAGTTGTAACAGCCTGATTTGTTTGCTTCAGTAAATTAGACAACATTGATACTTGTTTCTTGAGTTCAGCAAGTTGAGCTAATATTTTCTCTTGTCTCATTTCCAACGCATTATATTCCGGTAATGGACTCTGAAATAAAATATTTCTTTTAACGTATTCAAAACATTTATACAAGAAATTAAAATCATTCTGTTACCGAATAGAATTTAAGAAGAAGACTTAAGACATTGCAAATAATCTAATATAAATTATCTCATTCAATAATAAAAACATTTTAATGCAAGACTTATTTAAACTACTTTGAGCCATTTACAAACACTATACGATTCCACACTATACATTTCAAAATGTTTCACTGTTCATGCTACTGTATTTTCTCCAATAAATTTCCATAAAAATTAGAAAATGTTAATAGCATTCTGAAAAGGAAAAGATATTATGAATTCTACATGACAAAAACTTTCTAAAAAAAAAAAAAAGATGGTCATAAATTATAGATTTGACAGTTGACCAGTTACATTGTTGATTAATGCTAATAAACAGCTACAAAGTATATACATCTTTTCACTGGGTTAGGTTTTATGTGTGTTTGGTTATACAACTGTACTTTGTGGCTTTCAGTGCAGTTCTAATTTAGTAAGCTTGCCCTTCTTCTATAATAATTATTGGTGCGTTCACGCTTATCCTTTAAGCAAGCTAAATTTTTCGCGTATCGTGGCCGCGTAGTGTCCTGTTAGACGAAAAATTGGAGGGGCAAGCATCGATCAAGCCTGTAGAACCATATTCCCGGTCGATCGTGATTAGTGCTTGTGGAAATTTTGGGAGGAGTCATGCACAACAAGCTCGAGACAGAAGAAAGAGTCGTAGCTACCATGCACGATAAACGCGTAAGTAAACCGTTCTATCTAGTTAACTAGCGATACGCGTTTTTCACGTCGGCGGGATAACAGAAATGATGAAAACCTTCAAAAAGCTGATAACCTGCTCAGTGATATCAGGCACAGTCTCGTCCACGGCTTCCGTATGGTCGTCTCTTGATCGTTCCTCGTGAATATTTCGCATTTCGTACATCACTTTTGTGCGATGCAACATTCGTGGCAAAGAAACGATCGGTTTCAAAGCGTACATTGTCATTTCGTTTAGCATTTCGTTCGTTCTTCCAATATTAATTCGTTAAAAAAAAATCCAATAATTCGAGTTCACATTCGATCATCGCGCACTCGTTCGTCTTTCGTATTTCTCGATTTTCGCTAGACAGCCATTTTTCTTTCGCCCCCCCCCCCCTTCCTCCCTCTTGGGAACCCTGTCGTGCTGTCATGCCGGCGCTACTGGCTTCCCGACCACTGACCACCGACATCCGTTTCAAAGATGGCGCCGCGAATTTTCGCTGAATTACACCATGGGAAATGTTTCTGTTGCTTTTAACCCGAAATATTCGTGCCACTGTTTACGCACAATAGTGTACGAAATTGTATTTGCATAGTTATCAAAATAGTCGAATAAAGAGAGAATTGTCCGCTTATTTATATAGGGAATAATCGAGTGAATACAACAATTAAAATGTCTGTAAAATTGGTTCCATGATTTATATTGTGTTTATGAATTATGCGTTTAGGTTCTTTGTCCATAATTACAATATTTCAATCTATTTTCGACAAGTACACCTCTTAATTCGTTCAATTATGATTATATAGGTACTATTCATATGATTCTCCAATTGGCAACACCTGCTATGTAATATTTTTCTTATTACTAAATGCATTAGGAAACACACAGTTTTTATGAAATTTAAATTTAACCCTTTGATATACATTTGCTTTGAAAAATTTATAAAGAGAAAAGCATCGTTAATTGTAAGAATTGTAATATAAGAGTAGAGGGTATAGAATCTCTGTTCAAACTTTACAGAATTTTAGTATCAATCCGTAAAGATGTCGCGTTTGTCGCTTGTACACTTAATTAATAGGAATTTATTATTAGAAAATTACACGATATAAGTATCGAAAAATTTTATTTCATATTAATTATGATCATTTTTAATTGATACAATGGTACATGTTAAAAAAATATGTACCGACGTAACGACATACGACAAATTGGAATTAAGGTGGTGTCCTCTGTCGAAGCTTCTCTCAAACTAAGGTTAGATTTCTCTCTTGCGGATAACACGAATTCGTTCAATAGGATACGTGAGCTAATTACAGGATTTGTTCGTGATAAAAAGCACGGTGGATTAAAATACAAATACTTGTGTGGAAAACGAAAATAGTACACGAGGAAAAGACGAAAGGTTTCTATCGGAAGTGCGGTTAGAATTGGGTTTTTTCAACCGCGCATGTCGCCACCTATTGTTGATCTGACAGGATCTTGTGTAGTTACGGTGAAAGCGATTGGATCTTCCGTACGTTTCGTGAGAAATTGAAAAACGATTAAACGGTTTCTAAATTGCATGAATCCCACTGAAATTCGGTCAACAGGGACGTGGTCGAGCTGTAGATCGCCGAAAACGGGGGAAAAGAAAATTTTGTCGAAGAATTCGTCTACTTTTCGAGTAGATGCGTTCGAGGCCAGACATGGCGGCGATTCGATGAGCCAATTGGAGCAGCGCTCTCTTAGAGGATCAGATATTGTAAATTCCCCTTACATTCGCGTCAGTGAATGATTTTCTGCAACCAGTTTCGTCGTTATTGATAGGAAAACGGGTTTTTATTGTTACGGGAGGGTGATCGTCGTTCGTTGACCAAAAAGTAGAAGCCACGCAAGATCGTATCGAAACTTTAATCATGAAAGAATTGTGTTTGGTCACGTGACCGTAGCCGAAAAATGGCGCAAAGATCAGAGTACAAACATGGGTTCCATTTCATTGCTACGGTGTCATTTGTATTTGTTTACAAGCGCGCGTTTTCACAAACCACGTGTTAAGTAAGTGCCATTTCGTTGACAGTGGGTGACAGACAATGACGGGAAGAGGGTCGAAGAGACGGGGCCGACCCCCAAAGTCGGTGGTCCTGGAAAGGCCGAAAAAGTTTCAGTATCATCTTATGAAGAAGCCAAAATATTTGCAAAACAAGGGTTCGGAAACGCCAAATTCACAGCCGAGTACGCCAACGCCATCGAGGCCATCGTCACCAGTTGAAAGTGAAGAGAGCAGACGAAGTACGCGGACTCGTAAATCCCGAGGACCCAGGGAAAGACATTCTCGTAAAGGTGGCCATTCAAGTTCTGGTGTATACCATCGCCGAGGTTACAATCCAAATGTCGACTACAACGACTCTGAATATCATTATGGCTCGGATTTTGGTGATGAGTCAAGTGACAAAAGCGATGGTGAAGAGGATCCTCTACAAAGTGATGTAGATTCCTCTGAAAGTATAGAAGAACCTGATCCCTCCAGTGACAGTGACTTCTCCCTCTCCAGTTATAGCACTACCAGTGGTACACCCCGCAAGACACTGCTTAGCCAGCAGAGACCGCCAAGTCCTGAACCGTTATGGCTTCAAAACAGGGAACTGCCGTCACTGATCTTACCTAAATCTTCTGACGACCTATTAGTCCCTAAGGAATTTGTTATGCCATCTTTATCTATATACGAAGTACTGAGACACTTCCGCACTTTGGTGCGTCTTTCGGCCTTCAGATTTGAAGATTTTTGTGCTGCTCTTGTGTGCGAGGATCAAACTAATTTATTGGCTGAAATACATATTATGCTTATCAAAGCTCTACTTAGAGAAGAAGATTCTCAGCAGACACACTTTGGTCCTCTTGATCAAAAAGACTCTGTGAATGTTAGTTTATATTTTGTGGATTCTATGTCTTGGCCAGAAGTGCTACGCTCTTATGTAGAAAGCGACAAGTGCTTTGATGAAAATATTTTACACATTTTGTCAACCTGTGAATATCCTTTTACTTCTATTGAAGACAGAATCAAGGTGTTGCAATTTTTGACTGATCAATTTCTCATTACAAATCCAGTAAGAGAAGATCTGTTGCACGAAGGTATGTTAAATGGTGTTCCATATTGTTTTGTTTATTGTACATGTTTGTCCTAACAATTATCTGTTACAGAAATATAAAAACTATTTCTAAATCGGCAGGAAAAATTTATGTGTCCGTGCTGAAATTATTTATTTTTTTACCCGCACAAATATATAAATTTTAAAACATTTTAAATATAATGCTAAAACTAGTAATTCGAATATTTAACAAAGTGAAAATATATTTGAAGAGATAATATTTCATTTCTATACAAGTTTATTAATTTTTATTTGTAATTTCACTAATATTGAAATACTTTTCTTGCTTTCTATATTTGGAAAAAAAACAAAATTATTTTGAATAGTAAAAATAATTTTTGTTTCGTTTTGTTATTTGTAAATCTGTGTACATATATTGTAAATATCTTTTCTTAGGGAATATGCATTACGACGACCATTGCAGAGTTTGTCATCGTTTGGGGGATTTATTATGTTGTGAAACTTGTCCAGCTGTATTTCACCTAGAGTGTGTTGAACCTCCATTAGTCGATGTTCCCACTGAAGACTGGCAGTGTAGTACATGTAAAGCTCATAAAGTGACAGGAGTTGCAGATTGTATACCTGATGTTGAAAAAAATGGTTCATTATGTCGTCAGGAACATTTAGGATTTGACAGACACGGTAGAAAATACTGGTTTCTTGGAAGAAGAGTTTTTGTGTAAGATACTGATTGTATAACTGTTTTGTGTAATTAAAAAATATCATTAAAATATTCATTGTTTTAATTTAATACAATATTATTATGTACATTATAGTGAAAGTGAAGATGGTGAAGTTTGGTATTACAGTACACCTTTACAGTTAGAAGAAGTAATGCTTTGCTTTGACCGTAATGAAATGGAAGTTGCACTTTATAGAGAATTATCAGATTATAAAGATGAAATTGTACGACAAATGGAACTTACAGAATCAATTACTAATCAATACAAGGGTAACAAAAAATCATACCTAGAAGTGGAAAACAGTAAGTTCTGTTATATTCTGCAGAACATACTTTATATGCGCTTTTAAAATATGATACTTAATGACTTTACCTAATATTTTATAATTTAGGTCTTATACAAAGATTACAAAAAGAACGTCAAGAAAAACAAGAGAAGGAAGAAGAGGAGAGGAAGGAGAAACAGAGACAAGAAGCTGAAGAAATGGTACGCAGAATACACGAAGGTACAGACTCGCTCGAAGAACGATTAGCAGCTGTTACAGAACAGCAAGAAGTAAAACCATCTGAAGAATTGTCTACAAGGGAAAATGTCCCAGATATGGTTGCAGAAAATGTAGAGGTTGATGGCGTAGACACTGATTTATCCGTAGACGTAGCGAGTAAAGGTGTTAAAGCTAATACATCCACTTCGTCGTCTGAAGAAATCGATGAAGAAGCATTAGAAGGAGAAGAGGGTGTATCAAAAATTGGTAAAGATGGTAAGTTATATAATTATAAGTTTTTGCTAGAAATATTGACTATTTTATTAATCAATAACGTATTACAGGGAAGAAACATACAATTGTAACAAGATCAAAAACGGGATCGCTGCAGCCCAGAACATTCAATATGGATGATTTAAAAAGGCGAAGTACTGCACAATTATCAAAGGAAGAATTAGAAAAGTTAGATAAAAGTTTAAAAGAGGAAGGGGACGGTACTAGATTAACAAGACAGAAAGCCCATCAAATAGCTTCTGGTACACATCTTTTTAAATTGGGAATGGATAACACTTTTAAATCATACGTGAATCAATACAGCACCAATCCCATTGCTCTGAACAAGGCTCAGCGTAACGAAGAACGCGACAAAAAGAGACATTTGTCGCATAAATTTTCACTCACGCAGGCTTCCGAATTTAAATGGGTGGGAAGTTTGACAGGAACTCGTGCTCTTCTGGTGAGCACACTGCGTCAGACAATTCTTCAACTGGAAAGTAATATTCAAGCACCATTTATGCATACCAATTGGCCTCTACTTCGCAAACCTTGGACCACAGCAGTGGGTGCTTGCGTAAATCCCAGAGATTTTGCGCGTGCCCTTATTGTATTACAAGCATGCATCAAATCAGTAGTGTTTGCCAGTGTATGGCATGATCAACTCGGACACGTGAAATTACAAAGAGTAACGGCTCTCGAACGGGAAGAAAAAAAGCGTCAAGATAAGAAAGATAAAAAGGAAAGGGAAGACGAAGAAGAGCGTAATCGTTTATTTAATTTTGTCAAATATACGTTAGGCTTGAAACATCAAGTCTGGAAACAAAAAGGAGAAGAATACCGTGTACATGGTCAAGGTGGTTGGCTATGGGTTTCTGCTAGCCGCCGTTATAAATTATCCGACATGTCAAAATTAGGCCTTCGAGTCGGTCCTCAGAAGATTATGGTGCAAATTAAAGATCAGGAGGGGCTAAAGATCTTGGCTTTAGATCCTCCTACTTATGATTTCTTAATAAAGGAATACTGTCCGTCTAAAAAGGAAGAGAATAATGTAGAAGTGAAAATAAAACAAGAAATCAAAGAGGAAGAATCGTCTAAAGATGGTACTGATACTTCGGTAAAGCAAGAATGTAAAACAGAAAATATAAAAACTGAACCAGTAGAAGATAAAAATAATGCAGAAACGGCTACAAAACTAGAAACGACAACAAAAACGGAATCGCAGACGATTAAGCAAGAAACGAAGATGAATTTATCATGTATGTATCACATCAGTAAATTTTAACTGTGTACATAAATTTTTCATTATCAACCTTTTTTTCTTTTTTTTTTTAGTTTTAGCTGGCATGAAAATCGAGAAAGTTTTTACACCAATCAAAGAATTCGAAGAAATTGATATTACTAAAGCACTAACGACCAATGGGAGACTTCATTATCCGAAAATTGCTAAAAAGATTAGAATTGATGATTTTCTTGCACGTAGAACACATTTAAAACTTTTGGAAGAAAGAAGATTATTGCAGTCTGTGAGTAAACATTTACAATAAGAACAAATCGATAATAAAATTGTTGAAGTATTATTGATATATTTTGTATAGAATTAACATATGATCATATTTTAGGAGAAATCAAAAGAGCTACAGAATCAATTAACAAATCAAAAAGCTGATGGAGATTCCGAAGTTGACATAGAAAATAACGAAGAAAGCGATACAGACGGCGGAGATAATTCCTTGCAAAGTATTCTTACTGGAAAACAACCAACCAAAACTATATCTTCATCGGCTAGAGAAATGCTGGCAGTGATAGGGAAGCGTATTCAGCACGTCAAAGCTCAATATGCAAATATGAGACTGAATAAAAATGGTAGTTGTTATTCACGATATTGTAATATGACAACACCCCCAGGAAAGGTTGCTACCACAACGCAGAGTTTAACATCTACATGTTACTCACCTATGTGTCTCCAGAAAGCCAGATTAAAACGTGATCTCATCACATTATTAAAAAAAGCCAATGCTTTGAATAACAATCAATCGCCGTCGAGTTTAGCGGCCGCGTCTGCAAATTTATCACAGAGTGAATCAAAAATTGAAGGGAGCGAAGAGGCTAAAGATGCGATTAAAAAAGATTTAGAATCCGCGGTGGCTTTGGCAACGCATTGCACCGAAGAAACACCAGCCACTAATGTAATAAGAGAAGGAACTACGCCTCCTCTAAAAAAAATAAAACTTGAATCTAATGTGGTAAGTTCTATGCATTTAATAACAAATAAGTTTCAATTGGATATAGGCTTTATCTTTCATGAAATTTAAAATGTTTTACTCGTTTGTAGAATGACATAAAGTCCGAGCCTGGTGTAGTAACGACTACAACGAATAACGTAATTACCACTACAACGGTAACTACAACACAGACTATAAAAACAGTCGATGGTGTTGTGAAAACTATGCAAGAAAATACGACTTCCAAAAATTCAGTTACATTTTCATCCGAGACTAAGATGAGGTAATCAATTTAAATCAGAATTGAACATTAATCTACCAATTTTTCTTAACTAATCAATGGATTATATTTTTGGTAATGCCAACAGCACTGGACAAAAGACAATAATCGTTAATCGGAGAGGAAGAACCGTGCAAAGAAGCACGGTGGCTAAAGAATTGAACGCAGATGGTACAGAAAGAGTGTACACTGCTGTTTCAACCGAAGGGAAAGTCTATTTGAAAAAAGTTGCAATTTCTTTGGCGGATCGAAAAAAGAAGCGTACCCCAGTTAAATATCCTCTGTGTTCTACATTTAGTACAAAAAATAAACATCGTAGTATATTGCTACTTCCGCAACACGAATTACGTAAATTGTCTAGGGTCGGTGGACGAGTACCAGTTCAAGGTTTCCATCATATGGCTAAGGTACTAATTTCGTTAAATTCGCATTAATTATAACAAAATGAAATTCGCATATTTTTTCAATTAATTCAAATTTATTTCGTTAATATCAGGCAAATTTGTCGGTGTGGCCTTATCCATGTCCCAGACCGTTATTTAAAACTTGCTGGTTATATCGAACAGTCGGGATAAAATCATTAGCCGCAGCAGCTCTTCAATTAAGAATATTATGGGGGTGTCTTCGATGGGATGATATGGCTACAAAGCCATTGTCCACGGACGGAAAACATCAGATCACAACGGATACAGAGATCATGTCATTGGAGATTCTTAAACATCGTCACGTTGGTCAGTTTTTAGATAAAACACAGTACTTACGCAGAAAAGTTGTTATACCTTTGGAACTTCCAAAACAAGTCAGAGGTAGGTGTAATAAATAAATTAGGTAAAATAATTATAACTCGACGAAGGAAACTTCTTCACTTGAAATATGATTTATACTTTACAGAAGTTACATCTATAAGAAGTGGTCTTAGAAAAAGAAAAAGACCAGAATCGCCACAAAGCACCGAACCACAAGTCACAGAAGAATGGGTCGACGAGGATAAATTGGAATTATGGGAAATTAAACAATATGGCGACAGGTTTGTTTTTACACAATTCTTAGCTATTTCATGAAATTGAGTGTATTTCTAACGTTCCTGTTTCTATTAAAATTTGTATGTCGTTTGGAGTGCTATTACATTGAGTTTTTTTCTTCGTTATTTTTTCTAATTTAACATCCAATTTCAGTAAAGTTTAATGAGAAGCGATTGTATTGAATTCCTTACACTTGCACCTTATAAAATCACTCAGATTCTGACCTATCCTCACTTAACACCATCTGATACTAACTCTCCTTTGGGTGTGTGTCCTCTCCAGGTTAGAGAAGGCTAATGCCCAGATTATTACTAGGAGTCGATCGGGTCAGCCACAGTCCATAGGTGTTGGTTCTAATCGTGGCACAGGATCGAATTCCGGTATTAACGATCAACTTGTCAGTGGCAAAGCAACGCCTGAGGAGATCAAAGAGAAGATGGAGCAGCAGTTACGCATGCAAAGAGCCGCTCACCAACAAAAGCGAGCATTAGAAACCCTCAAAAGTCCAGCTAACTCTGCTTCGCCTACTCAACTTGTTAAAGTTACCGCTAACTCTGGCCATGGTAAAACTCAAATTTAATATTTAAACTTGTTTTAAAATTAATTACAGTTGATTTGAAACTATTCGTTATTTGCTATAGACGGTACAGTTAAATTAGTATCCAAAGTTGCGATACCAGCAAACCCAAACAGTGGAACAAAATCACAATTAACATCTCTTTTGACGACTCCAACGCAAAACAAGACTTTTATTGGCACCAGGCGTATTTATATGGCAAAATGTAAATACTAAATTAAACATACTATTAAATATTATGAACTATAAAATCAATTTTAAAATCATTTATATATATTTAATATTTCATTTTAAATAGCCGCTGATGGTACAACAAAAGTTGTTTCCGGACCTACAAGCATTTTACCAAAAACGCAATTGCAAACTGGAAACCAGCAGCAGTCTCTGATTAAAGTTTCTGGTCAAGCAGGTACATTTCTATTATGTTAATCGCGTTGATTAGATTATTAAATTATAGTTTGTATTTAATTAATATATTATTTTTGTGTGTGTTTGATCAAATAGCACCTGTACAACAAATTCAGCAGAAAGTACAGATTTTAAGAGGACCGGATGGAAAATTACAAGTCCGAGGTTTAATGCCTGGTCAGCAATTGGTTCAAATGCCTGACGGAAAATTACATGTATTAAATACTGGCCAAGCAATTACAACTAGTCTTGCGCAAACTGGTGGAACGAGCTCAACTACACAAGTAAAATTTGCTAAATTATGAAAATAATTGAATAGAAAGATGCGTTTATTAATTCATGAAATTGTTCTTAAAGGTGAAAACAACTACTACAGCAGCCACAACTAAAACAGTCGCTACACCTAATACTACAGCTACTAAAACCAGTTCGACAAAAGCAGCAACGAATGCAACGCAAGTACAAACAGCACAACAATCACAAGCACAGTCCCAGCAGGCTGTGCAGACTGCGCAACGTTCAACGACAGCAACTGTGACCATTGCAACTACACCTACTCAATCAACAAAGAGTGCTATTGTGGTGGCTAACACCGGGCAAATTGTACAGGGTGCACAAGTATGTATTAGTAAATTGTGTGATTCTTTTTGTCCATTCTATATTAGACTACACTATTTTAATGCTAATATATCGTTAATCATATAGGTTCTATCATCTAGCGGTCAAGTTATCAGTGGAAATCAAATAGTAGTCACTAATGCTAACTTAGCTCAACAACTTGCAACGGGTAAAGCTCAATTGACGACAATCGGTGGCCATCAAGTGGTAATTCGTAGTACTCCGACAGGCAATCAAATCGTGCATTTAAATTCAGCAAATAGTAGCATCATAGTTAAGAATGCTGTAACGCCAACTAAACAACAAGGTTAGTTATCTTAAAAACTCTACGGAGTGAATCATATAATTTGCTCGTTCATATTAATTTTTTTAGTTCCTGCCTTGCAATCTGCTCAAACAACAACGGGAGCACAATCAACTGAAACGACTAATAATGCTACCAATGCGTCAACGAATGTAACTCCAACTACCACGACCTCAACGAATCAGACCTCGACGGCTCCAGCACCCGGAAGCGTAGAAGCATCTTTGCTAGCTGGCCAACCACCTGGTACTGTTATTAAATGCGTCACTGCTCAAGTTATACAAACTACTCAAGGACCTCGTATAGTTTTACAAGGTCTGCAAGGTGCAGACTTTACCCCACAGCAGCTTGCAATGGTCCAACAGCAAGTCAAACAACAATTGCTTAAAGGTCCGAGGCAATATTTATTGTATGCATATTTAAAATTATTTGGTGTATTTATTTCGTGCGCAATTTTTTAGCTCAAGCTACAACAGGAAAACAAGGAGTACTAGGGCCTACTAAGATTTACTTAGCTGTTCAGCCTGCGCCAAATAGTCAACAAGCGATTCAAAGCTCGCAGAGTTCTACAACGGCGAGTACACCCGCTACACCAACATCAAAACAGCAAACTACACAACAACCGGTTGTGTCACCTCCAGCAGCGACCGGTTCGTATTAATAATTTTCTACGTTTTAATTTGTACAATTCTGAGATTGTTAATTGCATTCTGATTACAATAGAACCGCAAACGGGAACAGAAAGCATTCCAGAGCTTCCGCCGACAACTACACCAAGTTCTCCTGAAAAGCCCAAAGTAGTTGTTCAGCAAGTTGGACAACACACTGTTCCTTCAGAAGAGCAGTCTCAGAAAACAAACGTGGCCAATGGCCAGCAACCTTTGCAGTCTTTAAAAGAAGGAAACGACTCATCGGCTAACAAATTTATTTTAACGCCTGATTACATCCAACAAAGTTAGTACGATCATGAATAATGCGAATACGTTTCTTTTCTTTTTGACTTTGTATGATGTCAACAACTATTCTAAACATTTTTAGCTATTAAAAATGCATTGAAACAAGAAAATCTTAACCCGGAAATAGAAGAGAAGCTGCTTCAGCTGCAACGATATCAAGAGAAACAGATGAAAGGTAGCGTCGAGAATTCGGTAGCCACTAATCAAACCCACGCAACACCGACGATCACGACCCCGCGTGTTCCATCTCGTAAAAGACCGGCGCCTTCCAACATTCCAACAACGACCACACCTACAAGTGCACAATCAACAACACACGATCAAGATACAGAATGGGCGGAAACGCCTAGAAAGAAACCCGCACCAAAGCAAGAGAATCGTGAAACTCCAAAGTAAGTTTTCGTTATAAAATAATGCGATATTTTGTGACGTCTGTGTATCTGATCATTATTTGTGTCGTGTAGAGTACAAAAAATCGCTGAACAAACGGAGAACGAATCGACGCCGAAAAATCGAGCGGCAAAGCTGAAAGACAGTCAAGAGTTACGAAGGAAGCAGCAAGTGCATTCTCGAATGCAAGTTTTGTTATTCAGACATAAAGAACTACTTAAGAAGGATATTCTTAAAAAGAGAGCATTGCTTGAAAAGGAATTACAAATAGACATTCAGGTATGCCACTTTACGTATCCAGTATAATTTTAGCATTCGTTATCGTGTACATTTCTTATTTATCTGTATTTTTAAACAACGTAAAAATTGTTCTTTTTTCTTGTTTTAATTTATATCAGATGATAACTTCAAAACAGAGTAGTTCGACACGGGAACAACAACTCTTCGGAACAATTAACACTTTAAAATATATATTTTTATGTGAAGTGAAGTGAAATACGACACATATTGATTTGCATATTATGGGCAGAATAAAGGTAAAAGATAATCGTAAAAAAAAATTAACCCTGTGTAAGTTTAAGCCATACATACTTGTATATTTATATTTCCAAAATCTGACTTTGTCTTTTTATTTATCGTGCGTCATTGAAACATTAAAACAATTGAATGAACAAAGAAAAATATTGAATACAATAATTACTAATTAATCATATACGTTTGTAAAAGAATAAAAGAAGAAAATAAGTTTAATGATCAATCCATTATATGCAAATCGAATGTGGATGAAAAACTCTAGGCAAACGATGATCCATGTAATATGGAGCGTTAATATACTTTTTTCCTGAATTATAGAAGGATCTATCGGCGGAATTGGCCTCGAGAACGAAGGCAGAAAGGCATAAACAGGACGAAGTTAAAGTGGGAAGTACAAAGCGTAAAGCAAACGCTCAAATAGCTCAACAAGTTAGTCCACCAAACAGAGGTGGAAGGCCAAAGAAATATAAGGCGCAAGGAAATAGCACCACACCACCTGGTGCTTCGACCACAGCTACTCCAAATAGAATTAAAAAAGAGAAGTTGTATTGCCTGTGCAGAACACCTTACGATGAAACGAAGTACGTATTAAATAAGCTATAACTTTAACGACGCATGTTTAACGATCACGGTTATCCTCTTGTATTAGGTTTTATGTGGGATGTGATCTCTGTAACAATTGGTTTCACGGAGATTGTGTGGGTATCACGGAAGAAATGTGTAAAACACTTTCAGAATTCGTTTGTACTGAATGCAGACATGCAAGAGACACGCAAGAGTTATATTGCCTATGTAAACAGCCTTACGACGAATCTCAGTGCGTAACATAAAAATGGCCAATGTTTATCAGTTATTCGTAGTTTTTTTATTTTTTATCGAAATTAACGTTTTCATTTCTATAGATTTTATATATGTTGCGACAAGTGTCAAGATTGGTTCCATGGCCGATGCGTAGGTATCCTTCAGTCGGAAGCAGATAATATCGATGAATATGTTTGTCCAAATTGTCAACGAAACTCTTCTGTTAATTTCGCTAATATGAAAAATCTTAATGCAAAAGATCTTGATCTCTTAAAGAAATTAATTAAACAGATACAGGTAAAGTAGTTGTGTAAAGGAATAAAGATCATGTTACTTTTAATACGGTAATATTAATATAATAAATGTTAACATTTAGGCACATAAGAGTGCTTGGCCGTTTATGGAGCCAGTGGATCCAAATGAAGCACCGGACTATTATAAAGTCATAAAGGAACCAATGGGTAAGTGTATTATTAATAAAATTATAAAACTGAAACTGTAAATTTTATTAATGTGTTGTTTTTATTAATTGTACTTCTAGATCTACAGACGATAGAGTTAAGGATAAACGACAGATCTTATAAAAAGTTAAGTGAATTCATTGGAGATATGACAAAGATATTTGACAACTGTCGTTACTATAATCCAAAAGAGTCACCCTTCTTTAAGTGTGCAGAATCCTTAGAAACTTATTTTGTTCACAAAATCAAGAGCTTGAGAGAAAAGTTTTCTGAAGGAAAGTAAGCAATAAAAAAAAAGAAAGAAGAAAACTGTAACTATAAATAGTGGAAGTGCAAAGCGTCAGCGGTTTAATTTCGTGCAGTGTAAAAGGATCGATCTGTGCCAGTACACGTAGAAAAGAGACATTCAGAGTAGCCATAAGTACGTAAGAGTAGGACATATATGTCCACTATTTATTAGAATTGTGTGAACAGTTTCATTTGCCTTCGTGAAGACGAACTTTATTTTAATTATGCTGAACAGTGAATTTTGAACCAAAACTTGCAGAATCAAACCACGTCATGCATACAATAATTTCATATTTAGTTAAAATGTAATGTGAAAACAATCTTTTTCATTTAAAGAAGAATCAAGTATTAGTAAAATTTTAATTTAACGTTTAAATTCGAGATAACGTTAATACCATATACATTGTCAAAGTAATGACGTTTATTATTTATTTATATATGAAAATAAAGCGTTTGCGCTTGTATCATTTATTGAAGAAAGATAAAATTAGAAGCGAAAAATGTGCAATTTAAAAATATTTGTTATGTTCATGCTGTTAAGAAAAACATTTCTTCCATTTCTCTTTTCAGAAGAAGTTGTGGTTCAGAATTCCTGTATAAGCATCAATATTTATGTACATTTATGAAATACATGTAATTATGCATGTCATGAAAATAATTAACAAATATATCAAATCAGTGCCACGTGAGCGTTTAGAACGATGACTTTTTAGTAACCCAATGCGAATCCGTGAAAAAATGACAAAAATGATGGAAAGTCTTTCGGAAGTTAATCACAAGCATACAGTAAAGAAAAGGAAAATGGTCCAATCGCAACATCATTAAGTTTCATCTAACAGATGAAGACTACAAATTTTCTCTCACGTAGACGTAAGAACTATTTAGCAAGCGCATAATAAATTGTACAAATTTGTTTATTGTGCTCACAAGTAACTATTATTATGTTGTTTTATCACATAAATTTTCTATCAAATTGTTTATAAGTAATACATACGATGTTAGCTTGTAAGAAGTATAGCAGGAACATCTGCTTTGTATATATCCAAGTAGAAGTGTCTATAAGGGAATAGACTGTAATAGAATTTTGGTTCTGATATGATGAGGATATATAGGGGGAAAAAGTCAGTTAAACGCAAGGAACTAATTTCGATGAAAATATTGTTTATATTTTAGCTAATAAAACTATGAGTATGTTCGGTATCTATAATCTCAATGAATATAAAGAGGCAATATTATTTCGTGGACATTTATCAAACAAATACATACACACACGTAAATACATATTCATATAAAGAAGCAATAAAATTAAAGTTGCTTCTGATGTTTCACTAATGAAATACAAGGGTGAAAGTAAATAGTAAATATTTGACTCTTGGTCGTCAAAGAACTAAAACTTTTGTGAATAAAACTACGTGTAGATTTATTCTGTGAGGGTTTAATGTATTCTCGTAAGGAAACAAAACCTGTTCTCTGATAGTGAGAACTTGGGAGAGTCGTGGCTTCGTATATGTACAATAACTGTATGTTTCACGAGTTTGAGACGCGTCTTTTTCGATCGTCAATCATTTGTTTAAGTGAATGAAAGCAGATCGCTCAAAGCAGGTTGTACATTTTCGCCAGGATAATGCTTGTACAGTATTTTTAATTCAAAGTTCACGAAACCTGGCACTGATCTGTTTTTTACCTTCGACTTTCGATTATAGTTACAGAATACATAGTTCGTTACTTTGCCCAGATTTATACACCGCATTAGCTTTACTACGAACTCGCACAGAGTGATCGATTATGCGTCTCGTTACACTTATTAGGGCACTATTTTATCTTTGTGTAATGTACTTCAAAAAAAATTTTTTTTCCAAAATATGTCGGTATATCTGTTTTATTTGTTATATGAGTTCTTTTTTTTTTTTTATTTCTGCTTGCTTAATTCTTTGCTGCGATCACTTCTGTATCTGCAATTAATGTTCATTTGATCGGCAAACAGCAAAGATTCGAGCGAACATTTTAAAAAGTATTTTATTTCGGGCGAGGATGCCCCGACGGATTTAATCTTTGAGATCGCGCATATATTTTAAATTCTTCCGCTTTGCCTCAGAACAGTTCCGACTCGTATAGACTTCTGAACAAATATTAATAAGTTATTGATTATAACAAGTATTAAGAGATATTTGCATTAAGACACTTTTACGAGCGGAATAAGTGCGCCAATCTAAAAGTAACACAACGTTTACTAGCTTTGTTTATCGTCTGAGACAGATGGAAGATATAAACTGTATCTCAAAGAATCAATCCTTTAATTTTCACGAGACGCATGTAAACTCATATAAAATCGTTAAATACTCTTGAAATTGTGAATGCGTTTAAGATAATCTTTGCCGAACTACGATCGTTCTGTCGAGGATTCTTTTCTTACGTAAGTGCGACATTCGACAATGTATTGGGGTAAAATTTCTTCTGTAAAAAATTGTAGAAACACTTTAAAACATGTAATAGATATTTAGCCGTGTAAGTTTTTGGCATGCTACTGAAGTGTAAAAACTGGGTGAAGAAATTTGCAGCCGTGTAAATTTTACGCTGCTCCATTTCACTCCCCGCTTATTAATCATGTAACAAGGTGTTTATTTCTATTAAGAAAAAAAAGCAACAAAGTGTGATTACATAACTATATTCGTCTAAATCTAATATTACTAGTTTATAATAAATATATTTGTACTAATTTTAATCATAAACTTTGTTGTTTTTATTGCACTATAAATATAAGTTAGAGGAGAGCATAGTATGTTAATTTACCTTTTTTAATTTGTAATTGCTTACAAAATAATAAACTGCTGTATGACAGTGGCTTCATGAGACTTTAAAAAAAGTATATTAATACCGTTCAGTAGTTTGTTTTTAATTTAATTTTACATACAAAAAACAATATCTGTATAAATTAATAGTTATAAATAATTTCGAATTGTTTAAATGCATACTACCTTTCCTTTTTATTATTTCTTAAATACATGTAAACTTAATTAGTACTTTGAAGTTCAAACAATAGTAAAATCTACATTAACGTTCTTCTGTCACAGTTTAAAACAAAAGTAAGAATATGTCATTCGTATAAATTACATAACACAACTTCTATTATCAATTTTTAAACTTTCTTTTATATCCTCTTTCGTTTAGTATGAATTAAGACTATATGTATATACACATAATTGAATTTTATAAATTCTTTATACCAGTGGCAACATTTAATATATACAAACAGCTTTCTACAATATGCTGTGTAAAAGTATATCGTATTCTGTTCGAAAGGGTCCGCGACCTCGTCGTAAGTACAAAGTAAATATATTTAAAGTTGTTATTTAAAGATCAAAATGTTGTTATTAGTATTAACGTGTAATGTATATTTGTTGAATAACATCTGCAGAACTTCATCATGTACCAAAAGCACCTTTACCTGGAGAACCAGCAAAACCATATACGCTTACTGAAATTCCTGGGCCTAGGTCCGAGGCTCTACTCAATGAATTTTCCAAAATTCAGGTTTGTATTTTTATTATTCTAATGAAAATATCACTAAAAAATAATGCAAACTAACGTAACATTGTCATAAAATATTGCAGCAAGTAGGCTCCATTCAATATTTTGCAGACTACCAAAGATCTGTTGGGAATTATTTAGCAGATATTGACGGTAATGTTTTCTTAGATATGTTTATGCAAATTTCTACGCTCCCTCTTGGATACAATCATCGGTCTATTCTTGGCGCATTGTCGTGTGTAGGAAATCAAGTAAATAAAATATGAAATTGTTATATTCATTAAAAGTGCCACAGGCGTTAACGTAATGTATTTTCAGCGAATAATGGCAAATAGACCAGCATTAGGATTGTTCCCCGGTTTGGAATGGCCGTGCAAACTTCAAGATACATTGCTTCAACCATGTGTAAAATATATTCTAATTTATAATATTTTTTCATTATCAATAAGAACTAAATAGAACATTAAATAACGATAGAAAAAACAAACAAATTTCTGTAAGAATAATGTCAATTTATCAGGTAGCTCCAAAGGGATTACCATGTGTTTTCACAACTACTTGCGGTGCTTGTTCAAACGAGCATGCTATACAAACTTCATTTATAAAATATGCGGAAAGACGTCGTCGAGGCGGAAGTTTTACAAACGAAGAAATGAAAAGTGCACCCTTTAATAAGCCCCCCGGCTGTCCCGAATTGTCTATTCTTTCTTTTGAAGGTATCTTGCAGTAGCATTGTAGATGTCTTTGCATCGATCAAATCAATAAATTTATAAAATTAGGAGGATCTCATGGCAGAACGTTTGCTGCGCTGGCGTTAACACATTACAAGTTTATAATGAAAGTTGATATACCTTCCCTTCCATGGCCAATAGCGCCTTTTCCCCAATATTTGTATCCCTTAGATCAACACGAAGAAGAAAATAAAAAAGAGGATACGCGATGCTTGGAACAAGTAAATTCAATACTTGCGTGTTATAATTAAAATTGACAAAATCTTTATCGAAATTATTTTTGTAAGGTAGAAGATTTACTAGAAAAATCTGAAAAGACAGCACCAGTAGCTGGCATTATAGTTGAAGCAATACAGTGTGAAGGGGGAGATAGACATGCCTCGCCAGATTTCTTTCAATGCTTGCAAGGCCTTGCTAAGAAAGTAACTACTTGATATTTTGTTTAAATTCTTATAGACTGAAGAAGCAATTATTAATATTAATAGAAATACATCTTTTATAGAGATCTATTCCCTTAATAATCGACGAAGTACAAACAGGGGGTGGTGCATCTGGACGAATATGGGTACATGAGTATTTTGAATTAAATACTCCCCCTGACATTGTTACATTTAGCAACAAAATGCAAGCAAGTGGTTTCTATCATTCTTCCGAATACATGTAGTGTATTATTCAATCAGTTTAGCATTTACATTAAAATATTAGTCCGTAAACATTATGGCTTGTTCACTTAGGCCCATGCGTCCATATAGAGTGTTTAATACATGGATGGGAGATCCAAGCAAAATATTACTATTAGAAGCAGTACTGCAAACTATTGAAGCAGAGAATTTATTGACTCATGTTTGTCATGTCAGTAATTATTTACTTTGTCAACTAAATGCATTGCAATATGAATTCCCACAAGTTATGAATTCTGTACGTGGTAGAGGATTTATCATAGCATTTGATATGGGGTGTAAAGATATGAGAAATAAGCTACTATATCAAATACGCTGTAAAGGTAGAAAAGCTTCTATAATATATGGATTAAAAAATTTAATGAACATTAAAGATATTCTATTATTATTGTACTATCATAACATTTGTTAATAACAGGTATCCAGGTGGGAGAATGTGGACCAAAATCAATTCAACTCAGACCATGCTTAATATTTGGCGAATATCATGCAGATATCTTTTTAGAAAATCTTCGTGTTTGCTTGCAAGAACTCACAGAAAGCTGATTCGTTTATAGACAATACTTTACTTTGTTACTGTTTTATATTTATTAAATATACATCTCTGTAAAAAATATTTATTTTTTTATTTATAAGGACAATATAATAACGGCATATACATTATATTTTTCGTAGTATTATGAAAATGTTGGATTAATACATACGAAATTTTGATTCTCATCATTAGTTTTTATAATTCAACATTATAATTGAAACCGAGTCATTAAGAACACTTAGGAAATATGTAAAGAATGAAATTTCTATTAAAATTATTGAAAAGAATCAAATTATACAAAAAAATAGCGTTATAAACAAATATTAAATCATTTTAGTAAAAATGAATAAAGTAAAGTAAATTGATAAAAGTGATTTTGGTACAAGTTGAACGATATTCGGAAGATTAAGTGGATGGAAATATCCATATATCGAACCAACGATTCCAAGAAAATAACCACAATTTATTATTAAAACACATTATTATTTATGATTAAAAATTAATTTTATAGTTAATAAAAACTGGATAAAACGTACGTCGAAGTTATTGTCTGAACCAAAAAGGATAATGCAAACCTCATTCATTATAAAAAAAATTAATTAAAGAAATGAAGTTAATTTTATCAAAATAATCTAAATAAGTTAATAGATAGAAATCGATCTTGTTACGTGATAATACCAAATCTTGTACGTCAATGATAGCGATAAACAATCTTTACGAATTAAAGTACCAAATTTTCAAGTGCTCTGTATGGTTTATGCAATCGATTATTTAATTTTTGTCCATTACTTTCTATTTTAACATTTCCACCCTTTCTGCAAGATAAAGTGTTCGGAAAATAAAGAACATGTAAAACAACCTATGTATGGAATACCCATTTTGAAACCTATTAATTTACACTTTTCTTAATGTTTCATATCACAAACTAAGTTCGTTATGTGTATATCAATATTAGTTTTTATGCATTTATACATAGGCTGTACGTAACAGGTACTCAAATTTTGTGTCATTCGTTATTTTATTTCAATCAAAAGTTTGTTAAATATTATACTTTGACTACTTGGATAAATCAAAGAAATACAAGAGCTGTGCATAATGTTTTTGCATTGATCTTTACGATATTACAAACCGGTATAATAAAAAATAAAATTAGATAGTATACTGATCTTGCATAATTAAGTGCATTGACGGGCGACAATACTAACGACGAATTTCCTTCCTACAAATATATAACCAAAGCCCATATTGAATGAAAAATTGACACGTAAATACACGTTTCAAGACCCCCTGATCATGTGTGACATGAAACAATACTTTGGAAATAAATCGTTTGAATATAGTTTATCAAGTAAGACTTTCGAAATTATTTTCTAATTGTTCTATTATTTCAAATAATAATTTTTTGATTTTATAGCAAAGAATGTTTATTTAATATCAATTCGATAAATTCAATTTGTATTTGTATATTTTTCGCCTATATAGGCAAATATACCATGTTCAGTTTTATTGCATAAGTTGTTCCATAACAGAGATGTAAAGTCTCTGAGTTGTTAAATATAAAAGTTGTTCAGTTTAGTTGTTCCCACAAATGAGATTTTCTTGGTCTTTAAAAAGACCGGTTTGTCCCTTGGCCGCTGCTCGTGAACCATCTTCTTGGCCATCTTCGATTTTGATCGAATGGAAATCTTCAATTAAATTCTTCATCTCGATACGGTCCGTCTTGCTCGGCGGTTGGGCGATAACTCCCCCGCGAGCACCTCAGGGGGCTTTTATAACCTTTCAAGGAGCACGAACCATGGAAATTGACCGAGCGACATCTGTGCAATTTTGATAGACAAATTGTCCCTCAACATGAAATTAAAGAATCGTTATTTCAATAATGGAATATTTATAGGTATATATAAAGCATTTCTACATATTCTCCATCGAAATACGCGTTGTTTGCAACTTGAAACATTAAGATCCTTCAATCCGTTCATAAGTTCTAAATGTTTTAAACATACTCATGAAATGTCGAGCGAACATTTCTGCATCTTTAAAACGTTATAACTTCTGAACGGATTGAAGGATCTTAATGTTTCAAGTTGCAAGCAACGCGTATTTTGAGGGAGAATATGTAGAAATTCTAAGAATATTCGAAAAATTGGTGCGCGCGCTAGGGGTTCGGTATTTATGCAATTTTGTTGTTTATGCAACTTTGTTAAGCAAGTGTCGCCCCCAGCGGACTGGCTGCTGATTGGCTGGCTGATTTATTTTTCCGACTGCATAAAAGTGACCACAGCTGACCAACTTTTTTCAGTACTCCTGGAACCGCCAGGGGTACTGTCACGCGTATTTTCTGTTTCAGATATCTTCTGCGATGCTGACCAGGAAGGATCACCCTTTGATATACACATAACTAATATTAATATAACTAATCCCAATATTGTCTTTTTCATTTATATATGTATAGGTGATGTAATATTTCGGTTGTTCGTCTCATTAATTAATACAATTATATTTCTTTCAGCTTTTATCTGTATTACATCGTTGGTTTGTTCTTTTTCTAATGGTTCCTTTCTTTATTTTACTTCGTTGGGTTGTTCTCTTCCAAATTATTCTATTATTATCCTCTTCAATTGGACTTGCTAAGAGGCAACGAGCTGACCCTTTTGACCAGCTATTCGGTACGTGTCGCATCTCTTGTTCCTACTGCACAGCGCAGTATTGTGTCGCGTTTCGCCGTGTCGCGTCCCCCACAATTTAGCTTCCTCCTTTGTTTTAGAAAAGTAATTACTTGGCAGCTTTTTTGTCGCGTAATCTAGTTTCTAAGTCTGTAAAAAGGAAGGTCGATCGAACTTTGTTCCATCGATCTCACTTCGGGTCTCCACTCGCAGCAACCTCCTCGTGGTGAGACCTGGTAATCGGTGTTACCTTCGAAGAAGAACTTCTTCATTATGGGTAACACCGGGCTAATGGCTGCGAATTTAAAACAATAGAAATTTGATTTTTAATCTAAATCAAAATGAAATGTTGTCTAATACTTTTTTCTAGGTATTCATGAGCTCAACTTCTAGAAAAAATTTCAATGTGATAAGTTTTACTATTGTAAAAGTTATGATCGTTTGAAAATTGACAATTTTTCTGAGCATTTTGTCACTTTACAACGTTAAGGAACAACTTTTCGGATATTCTTAGAATTTCTACATATTCTTCGCCAAAATACGCGTTGTTAGCAATTTGAAACATTAAAATCCTCCAATCCGTTCAGAAGTTATAATGTTTTAAAGATGCAGAAATGTTCTGAAATGGCTCCCATTCACGTTCTTTATCGTTTTCCCGAAGTTGAATGAAGTGCTTTCCTGGTGTTACATCGTTACATGTGGCTCGTGTGGTAAAATATGTTGGCTTTCCCCACCACTCGTTAGACGCTAAGGAAGTTTGTCGTTACTGCTGTCGCCGTCAATGCAATTAATTATGCCAAATCTGGCCACATTGTTTACGAAGGAAATCGATATAAACATGGCGGTCAAGGTACGGCTTCATTCAGCGTGATTGAAAATCAAGATTATAATGGCTCAAATTTTACATTACGTAACGGAAAAGTGCATTTCCATCGAAGTGCATTTTTTACAACGCTCAGTGTCATCGTGAACGACAGTAAGAACGGGACGGAAAATTCGGCGTTGAGCCTGTGTCCGACGAGTGAGAAAAGCAAACGAGAAAAGAACGGGTTGACGTTACGACACGACAATCGCAATTGAAGTCTCAACCGCGGCACACTGAAGCGTAAACAATCACCATGGCGAAGTACGAAGATATTGCGTAATGCTTAGCCTTATCTAATTATAGCAGCATAGAAAGTGCATCTCTAATTCAATGATAATGCTTTGTTTACTATGTCACGTTGCATACTGAATCACTGTTATACTTGATTTACCGGTCACTATTTCAGCGGCATGTCCTTTTTTAAATCTTTAATTTTTGTCAAAGAGAATGCTGATTTTAAGTTGGTGTGAGTTTATCGATTATTAATTGCAACATTTCGTCGCATTTCATTTCCCTTCGTTCGCTGTACAGTACATTCGTTATGGTTATTGACGAATTATGTATTTATTTTTTACAGTATATTACTTTTAGAACAATTCATTCTTTTCATTTGAAAATTAATTTATGATTTCTAGGGGATTGTTTATAATATTATGTATACGTATGCGTGTATTTACAAATATAATCGATTAATTTATATTTAACTGTAATTGCATTGCTTCATTTCTTTATACATTATGTTCCTGTAAAAATATAAACATGTATCTAAATTTTGTTTGTGTCGGTTGAACTAATACGTATTATCTGTAAATAATTTCTTCTTTTATTTTCACTGGACGTTATTTATCATTCCATTTGCACGGTACATTGCAAAATATATTGTATCGATATTTCTTAATGCTACAAATCTTTTGTTAATTTGCAATGTTTTTACTTACTTTTAAGTCATTTAAAAACTTTAACAAAACAGAATCTTTTCATCATTCAATTCACAAATTTTTTGTACTATACTATTAATAATAGTTATGAAAAAACTTACCAACTACTTAAACATTATTATTTCATAATAAATACAGTGAATTTCCATGCTGAGTGTATTATCTATTATGTAGAACAATGCTTTCAAAAGACATTCTAAACTGTAATCTTATCTTGCTTATATTGTTATCGGTTACTGGTGCAGCTAATCAGTAATTTTCTGTTCACAATTGTTTATTTCATAGATTCATTTTTATATTGAAATCAAAGCAAGTAACAGACGTTAATATTATGTCTGTGATTTTATAAAAATGAAAGTTGTCATATTTTCACAATTGTGCATAGAATATTTTTATCAATTACTTCAGGGTAAGCTAATAATATAATATAATGTGTACATAATACAAAATTATTTTCAAGTAACATGAATACGGTGATGTTAATAAATTGTATAATATTAAAGTGATTCCAACATTTTCTTTTTTTTTTTTCTTTTTAGGGAGATGATGATAGTATTTATTTACGACACTGCAAGGTGTTGTAAAGAAGATGATAATCCTGCAGAGGCAGTTATGTATTTCCATCCAGCATGGGTATCTCTTACTCAGAGACTAGCTCTAGCAGGTCAATTAATGGCTATTAATCAATTTCTTACAACCTCATTTGCTACTCCAAGATCGATCACTTTACAAGGAGGAAAATTTGTATTAAAAAAGTTTGGACAGTACATTCTTGTGAGTGCATTATTACTAGATCTCGCTGTCTTCGATATTATATAAAATCTGAGTAAAGATTTATATAATATAACTTTAATAGTAGTTGTTATCAGCTATAGCTATTGCAATTATCAGTACACTCTTAATGAATGAAGTGCAACATCTTTTTAATTACCTAATGTGTCATACTTGATGTAAATTGACATTTACTGCATATATTTCATTGTTTATTATTTTATAGGCTGTGGGAACCGATAGAAACATTCATGACTGGATTTTAGAGAGACGTGCAAACACATTAGAATCATTACTAAAATTTTTTCATTGTGACCTTAACAAGATATTGGAATCATTCAACAACGATAGAAATAAATTTACAGAAAAACTATATCAAATGTTTGAAACATATTTGCCAATACTTCAATACAGTGCCAATCTTTTCTCCAATATTCCCATTATCAAACTTCCAAAGGTTAGTTACAACATTAATTTTCTTCTTTTTTTTTTTATTTGCGAACATAGTACAGTACTAATTAATTTTATATTTATTCCAGAGTGCTAGTAACATATTTTTAGAAGCAATTCAGGTTTTACAATATTGTCAGGAAACTAATGGTGTTATGGGTGGTGCACTCTTTTATAACAACAAGTAAGTTATTTCGAATAATAACAAATAAATTTCCTTGTATTTTTTTTGTATTCGAAGAACATAGTATTTGATTTTTGTGCATTAATACTTCAGGGTAGTTGCTACTCAACTAAGTGCAGATTTGACTAAACAAATTGTTATAACCGATCCATATAGAATAAAGGTAAATTGAATTCATAAAATACAAAAGCATCTTCTTTTAAATGAATTGTATTTTATATATGAATGTGTAATAATAGCAAACATTTTTTTGACAAGGCTCCTGCAGAGAGAATATCAACAGAATTTCATTTACCTATAGGAGTGCAATTATTGCGAGTGTACATAGAACAAAAGCAATGTGCAAAACTTGTACAAGAGGCGAACAGTGAACGATACTACAGTTCATATTTAGATTCTGTCACAAGAAAGATGTTACAAAGAAAGGTAAAGTATTTTTCGAAAGTGAATCATAATAATCGTGTGCTAATATAATAATCATATTTTCAGAGCATTTCTAAGAACAGTAAGGAACTGCCTTTGTCTGGAATGAAACGCGACACTTCTCGTATTTTTACTGTACCTGAAGAAGGAGAATTAGATTCTTCACAGTACAACGATAACAGTCATTATGTACCCTCCGTTCCACTTACAGCTTACAGTTCTCCAGTTAAACGCAAACAGGAAAGTAAAACAGACCGTCCCAAATGTATAAATCCTTTAACTCCTAGTGTATGCTCCACGCCCTTAAAAGATATAAATAGAGTTTTGCACGGTAATGCAATGCTGATTTGTAACACGGGCGAGGATGGAAATATCGAAACAGAGGAGGAAAAGAAAGAAGTAAAAGCGAACGTAGATGATATTCCAGACGTTGTTAAGGAAGCGCTTAGGTGTAAACGTTTAAATAAATTGAGAAACGTTACATCGAACAAGAAGTTAGTTAAAAGAAGAGAATTCAGTAAAAGAAGCTTGAGCATGCATGATTTAGAATCGTCCACGAATTTCTATTCCAATCGAATATCGGTTAGAACGTACGGATTAGGTTTACCGCAGGTAAATATAAACACATCCCCCGAATCTTCACCGCAAAAGAAACCCGCGTATAAAAAGCAATTCCATACAATTACTGATCCTTGTTATCCTGTATTTCGATGCGATGGATTACCAGTATCTAAATCATTGTATGACCAATACATATCTTCACATTACGAGGAGCTCACAGACGATAGCAGTAAAACAATTAATCGTAATGACTTCTTAGCAAGTTTCACGAGCAATTGTAACGCTAAGAACGTAACAAACAACTGTGATACCGCGAGCAAAGATAATTTTGAGAAGTTTAATAAACCGCGCGATATAAAATTGGATAATAAAACGAAACAGGAAACTTATCGTAGATCGATGAGTCTTCCATTGAAACCACTGAATGTTACTGACAACGACGATAGACGAAAATCAACATCAGAGTGTGGTAACACGTATGATTTTCTTCAAAAGAAGAAACTGGATGGTTTGCAATTAACACCGCTTATGTCCAAGCTTAGTTTGCTTGCTGATGAAAGAACCAGCGGTTTTTGTAGCAGGGAAACTACTCCAAACGAATTTCGCGATTTGTCCGGTTTTTCGGCAACAACAAATCAAATAATCAAACAAAAATTGGAAGCAGTTAACAAAGAAATTGGTAGCGACGGCAAAGATGAACTTGAAGAGTATTGGATCACTGCATACAAAGATGAAGTTTGCCTTGAGAAAACAGAATTATTTTTGTGTGGGCATCAAAATATGGTGCTGGTGTTGTTAATGGAAAATGGTACTGCTAATAATCCTGATCTTATACACACTCTTGTGAGTATGCTTTGCATCGATGTTAAATAAATGTCTTAATTAAATACTTATTCGATAATATATACTACAGTGGCAGACTTGTGTGAGCACATTAGGAAAGCTTGAAACAAGGCTGCAACAGTGTCTGGAGCCTCTACCATCGAATGAAAACAAAGAATTGTATAGTATTTTAAGTATCGATCCGCAATGGGATACAATAAACCGTTCTGGACTCTGGGGTGTCACTGAATTGGATATTGTTTCTTGCCTTCACGATAGATTCACGCATGCTAGCAATCTCACGGACATCATTGTCAGGTAATTCTTTAGACATTAGATAACTTATTTGAGTTAGCTTAATTTCGCACACGTCGGCTTTAACTTGCTTTGGTAGATCTACTTATATTTTCTTGCTCGAACGAAGTAATACTTTTGTATTACACATTTAAATATTTAGAGCGAAAGAATATAACATAGAACAATCTGAACACACTTTTTTTTTTATTATAAACATCTGACTAATAGTTTCGTTATAAAATTTTTATTTCAACAAACAATGTTCATAGTAATTTTACATAAAGTGTGGAAAAAAAATGAGTATGTTTTATTAATTAACTAGAACAGAGGATACTGTTGTTTATGGTAACCAGTGTGGAAACATAGAAGTATTTTATCAACAAGCAGTGGCATCAGATACTACTGGAGGACTTCCAACTCCTGCAGATTTAATGGGAATTGTGTCTCTTAAAGCAAAACGTAGACTGGAAAGAGATCATGGAATTGTATTATTATAAATTTATAATTATTCGCAAATGCTTCCACTACCATATTATTAACAATTGAATTATTTCGCTTAATATTTTGTTTATTATATTCTATGGCATGCCAATTTAACGATATTAGATCATATTTTGTAAATATTTTTTCTGCATATAGTGATAGAAAAATTCATCTAATGTTTTGATAATGTTAATTGGTAACATTCACTCTGTCTTGTTATTTGGTAATACAAGGGTATTAAAAATGAGAATGAAATCTATCGATTAGTAGTCAGCATGTAACAGTAGTCAAACTCTTACTACTCTAGCAATGATTTCTGAATAATCGCGTATAAACGTCGCGTATACATTCTGATGTGTATACAGATAGTATTATATTTATTTAAAACGTCCATATCCTGGGTAAGAAACAATGAGTTCAAATTTTTATATCTTTCAAAAATTATAAAATGAAACATTCCATTAATTTAATTGTCTAAGACTACATTTACGATAAAAATTGTTATAGATTGACAGTGTTAATAGAAAAAAAAAATTGCCGAATTTTCTACGCGTATTTTTGTAATCAAATTCGCACTACCCAAATATAATTAATTTAAGAATTGGCTGTAATGAAAGACTTTATATCACTCGTGTGTATTAACCATGCATAATAAAACCAATATTAAGGTATTACTATTTTCTCAAGCACGATAAATGATGTATTTTAATACGAAATGTTGAATGTTTTATTGAAAATATTTATTTAAACAAATTTTAAATTAATTGTTCGCAATATCACGATCAAGAAAACTCCAATTTTTATCATAATTATATGAAAACGATACGCGACTTACGAATAGTGTATGTATTCAAATTAAAAAGAAAGAAAAAAAAAAAGTAAAAATTTATTTTAACTTGTTAAGCACGAATACACGTATATGTATAACAAAATGTGCACTATTTATATTTACAAAACATGTAAAATTATATTTTCTATTTAAAAGGCAGTGATTTTTATTATGTATGGTTTCAAAGCTGTATATAATTATTTAAAATTGTAATAGAGTGGCATAATACGACAAATATTTTTTGGAATCTAAGCTTTTAATCTCTTAGATAGAATACAAAAAAAATTCTAGTATTCAGCTGCTACGTCCAATTTAAGTGATAATTAGCATTTAATACTTTATTAGCGTATTTATAAATCATGTAATCGTGGATAAAGATTTTTATTACAAGTAGATATATAAGATAGCTCACGTTGTTTATTGTTTTACTTTTTAATAATTCACTCATGTATAAATCAATTTCAATTATCTGTATTTACAGTAATGAACTAATTCCTTGTACATATATATATGTTAGAAGCATTTGATAATTTATTTACGCTATTTAGAAGCAACAATGAATGGAATTTTTTAATTTGTTAGTGTGTGGATTGAAATATACTATTATTAAAAAAAAGAAGTACATGACAAGACAGTATATAACATATGATTATGTCAATATTTTATGGGAAAAAATGTTAGACACTATAAATATATTATAGTACTTACTAAATAATTTGTTTGAATTAATTTTTGTTTTAAATAGCAATCTCTGCTTTCATTAATGTTATAATGAAAACTGCATTAATTTTCTCTATATCTCGACGAATAATTTTAAAACTGTGTGTAGAAATTTTGCTTTAAGTTGGTAATGTAATAACATTTCTGCGTGAAACAAATTACTTATAACATCGAACATGTGAAACATTCATGAATAATTGTTTGATGTTGCCAAATACTTTCAGATGTTCTATGTTGTGTACTTATAATTGATATTTTATATTGTTTGTAATGTTATACAATTGTTAAAATCTTGACGCATATCTTTCACATTGTATTTGCAGTAATTTAATCTAGTCACCTATATGTATATTGCCATATACTATAAACATTCTAAGTTATTCTTTAACATTTAATATAAATATGAAGATCATTTCTGTAGAAAAATTCATTTCACTAATAAATTGAAATATTCAACCCAATTTAAGTCGATCTAAACTAGATAATGTATCAGAAATAATATAAGATGCATACACGGCCAAGTACACACATACAAGCTCCTTGAAGTCCTTGGGACTTACATTTACAGAAACTTCAAATGTATAGAAAGAAAAAACATTTTAAACGAAATCATATTGCTGGTTTGCTGCCTACACGTTTTCTATTAGATTACAGCCAAATGATCGAGCAAGGCACGGCAATAATTAGATATAATAATGATTAAACCAATGGGGCACATTAATTAGCAAAGTGTGCTAATTTAAGTAGCACAAAAGTAATTTCGTGTACTGTAACTATCGCATACACGAAAATTTGTATTCATATCGATATTTTATCCATCCACCTAATAATTAACTTGACATCATTGTGTGCAATCTATATCTATGTTAGCGAAAATATAATAACTTTGAAAATGTAAAACCTTGACAGTTTTACGTTTTCAAAGATAACAAACATTCTTTTAGCAAATCGACCGAATAATTATATCGAACTAGGAATTCGTCTTATGTGTTATCATGGTTATTTTACTACGTATTCTGAAATCATTCCGTTATTTTTTTGCCACGCCTCGGGCATGATGTAAATGAATAGGGGCGAGCCTCCTGGTTTTGCCGGTTTATTAACATGTTTATATCATACGGCGTACGAGTTTCTTTTCATGCATTATTTATATTATATAGAATCCGCCTTTTGCTAGATCTAAGCGTCGACGCATAATCAATCTCGTTTCGTCATTTGGAATATATGTAATATGATTTCATTTGGAATTTTATAATATTAAATATTGCCAATTAATAATAATGTCACAAAACCAGAACTAAAAAATGTACGATATTATTTAAGAACGACAAACCATTGTCTTAATATTTTTAGATATAGAAAATAATATTGTTATACTCGACTGCATTATTTTTCGTGCTTGGTCATTCGTGACTAGTGCACTAAAATTGATTTGAAGAGAAAACAAGTGCCCAAGGAAGATTTAATTTATAATGTAATCTATGTAAAAGAGATAATCACGACACTTATTATTAGATGTGGGAAGCTTGTAATGCTTTTCTGTAAACGCAATGAGTTACACCTCATTTGCGTGTTTACGATGTAAATGCAAATACTTACCTTCCATCGACATTGCAATGTTATGGAAAACGGGAGCAAAGAGAAAAACAACATTCTCTGGCAGCAAAATATTAGTAAATTGTTAGCGAATAACAAAAGTAGGAGAAAAGAAATCGTGAACCTAGGTTTAGTAGTGTGGGAAGCTGAAAAGAAAGTATAAAAGGAATGACTTGGTACATAAATTAGCAAACTTTATTTGGAGGATTTTATTTGACATTAAACGCATTCATTTCAGAGTCGAGCCCACCATCGGGAGTACATCATGTGATCGTGTCGTGTAACGAACTTGAAAAACCTGCTCGCTTGTAGGTAATAACATTATGCAGGTGATTTACGTTTCGTGATTCCAGAATGCGACACAAACAAGCCTCCGTGATCAGCCAATCAACGGCAGGGATTATTGAGCACCAATTTCGACGCGCTTATATTTAAGCAAGTTACACCTGCGATTAGAGTTATTAAAAACAAACTATTGAGGGAAACTATACCGAAGTTTTCGCTCGTACTGATAACTCATAATGGTAAGATAATTTTGAAAATGGTATTAAGCTACAGAACAATATTTTTATTATATTTCTTACGCAAGCTTTTCTAAATATGAATAACTGAGTATGGCAAATAAGTTACGTATTTAATTAAAAGCGTTGATTCATAAAAACAATTTCGAACCAAATGTTAATCGTATTTAGATGTTCGTTGATTTTTAAATTAAATCTAAAATACAAATTTTACAATTTTTTTTTAGACTACGTACACGGATAAAGGCCCGAAGGTAAGCAAAGTTATTATAAAACGAATGATACATATACAATTAAATGAAAAAACATTATTAACAGAGTTTTTAAATTTCAGCCATTAGGAGGGAAATTCTTGGGCTTCGATCATATAACGTTTTGGGTCGGAAATGCGAAACAGGTAGTTAAAATGAGATACTAAATAGCTAATAAAGTAATATTTTTAATGTTTAAAATATTTACCTAATTTTATACATGGAAATATTTCCTATAGTATTATATTATATATTATAATTTGTAATTCTGAAGATATTATATCACAGAAGCGTATTTCAAATAAACTAGTTATTTAGTCCAATGGTTATTATATTTCTATTTGAATTCGTATTAATCATCTTTTAATTCAATGTCACAACAATTGTATTTTATATTTAACTATTATAAAAGAACATTAAGCAAGTTTTACACTTAAACGCTACAATTATATCATTTTGCATTATAGTGTTTATTCGTAATAATTTTGTCGACAAACGAGTTCCAAATGCAATCGGATTCTCAATATTTTAAATACACGTTATAAATTTATACCTGAATCCATTTATTATTATAGGCTGCCAGTTATTATTGCACTAGGTTGGGCTTTGAACGTTTTGGATATCGCGGTTTAGAAACTGGTTCAAGGCACGTGGCGTCCCATGTTGTTAAACAAAATCAGGTACACAAAAACAAATATTTATTATTCGATCTAAAATTTTGTTTTACAATTAAAATACATTTTCGGTAGATCATAAAAATACTTAACGAGGTACGAATTGCGAATTTATCGTTTTACATTGTTCGAATGGATAATATTTTGTTTATCTTACTTACAGATTATTTTTGTATTCGAATCAGCCTACGAAAGTGACAATGAAGAAATGGCAAGTCATATTTCGCGACACGGGGACGGTGTTCGTGATGTTGCCTTTAATGTTGAGGATATCGATGTCATCGTAAAGGTATATTTAAAAAAAAAGTCACATATATGTAAGAATAATAAGATCATAAATTTCTAGATCGCGAAGGAAAGAGGTGCTGAAACAGTGAAGGACATATGGGAAGAGAAGGACAAGTACGGCGTTGTAAAATTTGCCACTTTAAGAACTGTAAGTTGCCGAGTAGAGAGAAATTAGCTGAGTAAATAAAAATAATATTTTAAACGAATATTGCATTTTACTTGTTAGTATGGAGATACACATCACACGCTCATAGATAGATCAAAATATAAAGGAGTCTTCCTACCAGGATTTCAACAACTACCAGTAGATACATTTTCAAAGAGTTTGTAAGTAATATAGAACGTGATAAATAGTATTCTACAAAGTGTATTAACAAGTTGTAAATAATTCAATGATATATCTAGACCAAAGGTTGGATTAAATTTCGTGGATCACATTGTTGGGAATCAACCTGATAAACAAATGGAGACTGTTGCAAAGTGGTGCGCAAAATAATATAAAAATTTAGAAACTATTAAGAGAACATAATAAAAGCAAAAATTTGTTAATTAAAGGCTTGTTTCATTTTAGGTATGAGCACTGTCTGCAGTTTCATCGTTTTTGGTCTGTAGATGATACTCAATTGCATACAGAATTTTCTGCACTACGTTCGATTGTCATGACTAATTGGGAGGAAACTGTTAAATTGCCTATTAATGAACCAGCTCCTGGGAAGAAACGTTCTCAAATTCAGGAATACGTGGAATACTATGGGGGAGCGGGAGTTCAACACATTGCCCTTAATACCAACAACATAATTGAAGCTGTAAATTAAATATATTTTTAACAATTTTCTCTTAAATTCAAATAACATTTTTTTTACTTTGCAGATACAAAATTTACGTGTTAGAGGCATAGAGTTTCTGGATGTACCAGACAGTTACTATGATATGTTAAGAGATCGATTGAAGGCTAGCGGTGTAAAAATTTTAGAAGACCTTAACACGCTTCAGGTACGAATATCGAGACATTACGCAGGAAGTAAATTTACCAAAAATATCAACATTGAGTTTTAAATATTATTATACTTTTAGAAATTAAAAATTTTAATTGACTACGACGAAAACGGATACCTTTTACAAATATTTACTAAAAACATGCAAGACCGACCAACGCTTTTTATTGAGGTCATTCAAAGGCGCAATCATAATGTAGGTATTATGGTTAACTCTAACATGAAATTGATATTCATCAATTGATAAATTTTGGAAAGATAAGACAATTAAATATTCGTTAATTTTGTTCATATGTAGGGATTCGGAGCTGGAAACTTCCAGGCGCTATTCGAAGCTATTGAAATGGAGCAAGCTAAACGTGGGAATTTATAAAATAATGTAGACAGTAATTCTACTAATTGCGATAAAAATATAATTATATATATAGGCAGTTTGCATTTAAAAAATTTATATAATAAAATATCACAAACGTGATAAAGAAACAATTTTCCTTTACTTTTCATATATATTATTAATTCATATTATAATTAAAATTTTTTAATGTTGCACATTGGAGAATAGAAACATCGCATTATTAATTCCAGATGTATTTAATGGCCAATATCTGTTTTACAAAAATACACACAGCGTGAAGGTGTAAAATATGTAACAGTACAATTTGGAGCATTATAATCGACCATTAAATTCAAGTATTATGTAATACTAATCTATTATATTGTGGTGTCATATCGTGAATGTGTAACCAACAATAGGCATACTTAAAAATGAAGAAATTCAAGAAAGCGAGACAATTATTAAACTGTGTCTATTTTTCACATTCCTTTCTTTTCTGGCCAATATATAAGCAAATATTCTTCATATAAAAACTGCAGTATCTAGAAAGAATGGGATAATATGCGATGACAAAGGATATTAATGAGAAAGTAGCTCACTTATTTCAATCTGTGGGATGTCCATGGCTCAGATAACTGTCTGCCATTAGTCATGATGAATTTGCAGACACTTTTCTTCATGCAGTATCATGAATGCCAAGGCGAAAGATGTCATGCTGGCAGAAGAATGAATTTCCCAGTGGCTTCAGCACAAAAATTTGCGAGAAGGCGTGTGGTGGGTCTTCATCTGCCTGTAATAAAATCATAAATTTATATTGTACAAATAAGTATGCATGAAGATTTGTACTTATATTTTATATGAAATTAATTTCTATAAACATTAGTTAGGAAAGATTAATTGTAATCAGGGTAAGTCACCTAATACTGAAACATAAAGTATAAAAGAAAAATCATAAAACCATACAGTAAATAACGAAAAATAAAACAGGGTCTATTTAAACAAAAGAATTGAAGTATAGTAATTTTTCGATTATCCGTCCTAACAGGGGGCCGAGGGTTGATCGTATAATGAAGAGTGTTGGAAAATCGGAGAATTTTACATTTATTACAATAACTCAAAGATTATTATAATATCCGTTGTACAAAAATACCTGATTTCTGATTTCTGATTCTGGTATAAGCGGGACAAAACAATGTATCGTAATACGGTTTCTATGACATAATACGTTATAAGAGATTATGTAATGTAGATTTAGATAAAACATTTAGGGGAAACATGAAGAAGTTAGATAATCCGGGAATCGATTAATCGAGGGTCGGATAATCGAGAATTGATTGTATTTTGAAATTTGAAAAAGTGTACCTTGAGGAAAAGGTGACCTTTATGATATTATTTGTCCATTTAAATCAAGCGTTTCTTTCGTCAAACATTTTTTCTTATCCCCAAAAACAATGCAGGTATTTTAGATTCCAGCATTAAGTGACTTACCCTGTATAAAAATATATTGATGCATAATTATATTGTTATTGACTAAGGTAAATTATAACTGAACACAGTCAATGATCTTATAAACAATCATGCGAAAATTATACAAATGTTCCACAAATGTAATAAAATTAAACAAAATGATGTGCTACAATACTGAAACTTACCATTATGACAAAATTTATATGAAAAAAAAAAACTGCTTTACCTTAATTTTTTATACGACTATACTAGGTCTTTTTATTAGATTGCAATAAATAATTTTCATTATTCAAAAGGACTATGATAATTAAATTTTTGTTCTAACAAAAAAAGATATAATAATGTTTAACGAAGAGTAAATATTTAAATGTTGAAAGGTAAAGCTGAATTATTGTTAATATATCTGTTACTATTATGTAACTTTACTTACTCATAACTTTTTACATCACTGTTCTATCAATTCATGTGAAAAATTTATATCACTATAATTTTCATTTTAAAAAAAAAGATTAAAACATTTAACATTATTCCTGTCAGTTCAGCAATTTAAAGTATCTCGTATAATTGTATTTTGATGGAGCATAATTAATGTCAAACAAAAAATGTTTAATCAACAAAGGTCACAAAATTTTATTAGGTCTAAGTAACTTCAATAAATTTAAATGTGCAGACAATGATTTCAATACTACAAACATACTTTGGGTGCAAAATTCATTGAAAAGTTATGTATTAAGACTAACCAGTGCAAAATAATTATTTTCTAGGGAAAGTAAATTGCATCATATATAAAAGCAGCATGACAACAAATGTAGATTCAAATGAGAGTTAATAACAAGCAGGCATATTGGCAAATTTAAAGCAAGTTTAGACGTTTAGTTAGTATTGGGCTTGCCTGTATTGGTAAACAGATCAATGGAAGATCAGTACCTGATGCCTAAACCGTGTCGTGCAGTGCAAGTCTGAAGATATCATGCTGCACGTAAAAGCTGGTGCCAATAGGCTTCAGGACAAATGTCTGGATGTATGCATGGGGCTGATCCTCATCAGTCTGCCCAATCATCAACAATCACTGACTCAATTTTCTTATTTCATCTTCTTTGCGGAGGTAGGTATATAGAGAGATTGTTGCTGGACATTAGTCATAGCTCAATCTCTATCTTCATATGGCAGCACAAAAAATGTAAGGCAGTACAGTACACATTTGTGTAGCATGTCCAGCCAATAAAATATAACGTATGGACGAACACAAAGTATACTAATGTAACAAAGTATTTAAAAAACTAAGATATTGAAATTAAAACTTTACTTTGCTTAAGAAATAATATTGTATCAATTATAAAGAGGATCATGGTAGTAAGAAATTAAATTACTGAACCAATTGGAATAAGAATTTTGCACATACTGTTTTTACAAAATACTTTCTATGATGTAAAATTTTTATCAGTCATACATTTATGTGTGCATATATGTATATATACACACACATAATATATATATGTATGTATAAGCTACAATCAGACTTTGCATACTTGTATATGAAAGTCTCTATTTATTGATATTAACCACATTGTAATCATAATAGAGTGAATATTATTTTTCTTACCTGCAACCTTCCTAAAACATTAATGAGCACACCACCATCAAACATTGGTTGCGAGTCAATAGCAGTTATTATCCGATTAATTTTTTGAAATGATAAACTCTGGAAATGAAAAATTTGTATTTAACATTAAATGAGGACCCAGCGTTGGCCTCGTTCTAATTTAAATAAAACTACACTATCAATTAAACTTTATAATTGCTCTTATACAAAAACAATAGAATTCATCAACTCCTTATCATTTCTTTGTTTATATAAACCATATTGGAAACAACGAGCACGAGTAACATACAATATATTTAATATATGCTATTTTTTACTGTAAATACTTACAGTTAATTTTTCCATGATTTTAATAGCACCCTGTATTTGCAAACCCTCAAACGTCATAAAAGACGACTCGGTCTGTAAACACAGCGTCGAATAAATATGTGGGAGGGAATCGATACAGGAAATAAGCGTGATTACAAACAATTAAGACTTACATTATACATATTTATTAAATTTGGTCTTTGAGTGGGGTCGTCAAATAGTGCATAATACTGCTGTACAAAACCCTTTCCAATAACTTCATATTGTGGATTTAATGCCATTATGCTAACTTATTATATTCACACCCACTATCCGATATCAACACTATCAGTCTTTTTAAATGATTTGATCGTTCGGCACTTTTGTCTTCATAAAAATTCTACGATAAGAGTAAAATAATGCCTATTAACATCCCTCGTGCAAGACACAAGCGAGCAGGAAGCTACTTATGCCGACCAATCATTTCGATGTATCGAGAAAATCGTTGGAATTATTCTCGAACTCTCGAAAAGTTTAGATATTTGGGCAACGATTACGTTCGTTTTTGCACAAATACAATTACTAATGATTTCTGAATTGGTCAATGAAATACATATAAAACTAATCGTTTGCACGTTTAAAAACTATTTAATACAATTGCTTACAAGGTAGACAAATTTTTTATTTTTTATCAACGGGTAATACCTGGTCCGAACGAAATTCGCTATTAAGAAACAACTTTGTTGAACGTTATTTAAACCACGATGTAGGATTGGTTTGCCGCCATCACCGGATATCTACTAACGCGACATCTGTAGTGTAGATTTCGAATATTGAACGGTCAGTGATCAAAAGTGAGGTTAACTTCCTTTTTTCCGGTGTGAAAAGCCGTAAGGTGTGTAGTGTTTGTTACTGAGGATGTAATCCGAAAACATCGGAAAATTGAAAAATAATTCGTTTATATACATACTATTATTTTAAATAGTAGATATTCCGATGATTTTTACATATTAACCATTTTTTTCTCTCTGTAACTTTAATAACAGGTTTTCAAGTGTATCAACAAACATTTCAACTTTGTTTATATTTAATTGAATATGATATTGTACGTATCGTTTAAATTTTATACGTTCCGAAACGTGTTAATTTTCCATAATTTTGCTTCCTAATTTAAAGAAAAACTAACTGATCTATGTAAGAGGTTATGTGATACTTCTGGAACAGTGTTTACAACTGCCACTATAATATCTGTATAGTATTTGTTACATCCTGCAAAAGAATAGCATTGATTATTAAGTTAGATTATTGTACACAAATTTTTATAGCAGATATTAGTATCTTTCAATTTTCAGACTAATAAACTAATTTTATAATCTTCTTTTTACAGTACATATCTTCAAGATGGTGAAGATTATGAAACAAGGGAAAGTCGTATTGGTCCTTAGTGGCCGATATGCGGGAAGAAAAGCTATTGTCATACGTAATTTTGACGACGGCACCACAGAAAAGCAATATGGACATGCCATGGTTGCGGGTATTGACCGATATCCACGTAAAGTACACAAAAGAATGGGCAAAGCGAAACTTCACAAACGTTCTAAAATCAAACCATTTGTGAAAGTAAGTCTTTCAAGCATCTAAAATTTTTTTAACGAGTTTAAGTAACGTACAAAGTAAAAAATATTCTATGTTTAGAATAAATAAATGCTTACTCTCTTTAACTTGTTTTTTATGCAGTTTGAACATTTTATATATTATAAAACTTGATTGTATTTTAGATATTAAATTATAACCATTTGATGCCAACAAGATACACTGTAGATTTGCATTTTGAGAAAGTAACTCCTAAAGATCTTAAGGACCCTATGAAACGCAAGAAGGTTCGATTCCAGACACGTGTTAAATTTGAAGAAAAGTAAGTGTAATTCCTTTTTAATTGCACAATATGATGAGTAAGTTGTAACAATTCTCCTATGTATTAGATTTCGATTCCAAAAGGATTTTATTTTACATGAAGAATTAGAATTAATCATAAAGCTGCAAACATATTTTACAAATTATTATATCGCAGAACATACTTTTTTCATATGAAGATTTTCTGTATTTTGTTTTAATGCTTTGTGACTTTGTGATTTTGTAGATACTTATACGGTAATATAAATATTTGTTTATAGGTACAAATCTGGTAAAAACAAATGGTTCTTCCAAAAACTACGATTTTAATTAATTTTAATAAATGTAAAATTATACAAATATTTTCGAAGCGTAATATTTTTTAATCATCCTTTTATGACAAAACGAATTAATCGCATTTCTTTTATTATTATGCGTGCTTAAAATTATTTTTATTATGCGTACATCGTTCAGTTTCTTTACTTGCATAACGTGCAAGAATAATTAACTTATATAATAGAAAATATTATATTTAGAAACAAAACAATTCGGTGAAATTATGGTAAAAAATACCTTTAAAATGCAATACATGATTCATACCAAATTCCCAATAATTCAAAGAGTGTCAATAAATATATATTTGAAACATTGGAGTGTCGCGATCTATAAAGAATTTTAATTATTACTATAAATTATCACTTGTTAAGTTTTTTAATACGTTCATCCAGTGATACTATATTATTTTTTATAATATCTAAATTTGATGCGAAACTATCTTGTACTCCTTTTAAAAGAGAGTTATTACTTTCCAAATTGGTGGTAATTTGTGATTGTAACTCTTCTAATCGCATTAGAGATTTACTAAATTCGGCAGCTGGAACAATTATATTCAAAATTTATCACACATGACAAAAAGTGATCATAAAAATTTTATTCAAGTACATACCTTGTTGGTGGAGTGTATTTAACGCCAACAATCGATTTACGGTTTGAGGTAATATTTCTGACATCGATTCGGTTTGTTTCACGATTTCGTACATTTCTAAAATCTGAAAGTAGTTTTTGAAGTTCAATTTAAGTACGTATGTTGCCTCTGTTTATTCAATAATATGTATATTCATGGGTAATAGTGTACCTTCTGTTCTTGTTCTGAGTCTAAATTTAGCGCAGTCTTTTTTTGTGCAATACTATCCATTTTATGAAGTAAAGAAGCCAATCGGTTTTCGATAATGTCTAACTGATGGGGATCTAATACTGCAGCTTTTGCTCCTAATTCTTGAACAGCTTCCATTATTCCTTGACATTTGAGATTCTGTCAAAAGTAGTTCATTAATAAAACAAGCTAAAATAATTGTAATATTATAAACGTAATAATTATACTGCACCTGTGAAAATTTAGCAAGTTTATCGTTGGATGCCCCAATGACACTTTCTAAATTACATAGTCTTTGTTCGAGCAATGCAATTCTTGCTGCTTCTTGCATTCGTGCCTTTTCTGGAAGGTATGTCATCTGATACTTGAGTACATTAAGTTCAATCGTTTTATCACCTTTTGTACTCTGTGCCTCTAAATCAGATTCAGAGGTAGGGATACTGGTTTGCTTGAATGCTTCTATTTGTGATATTAGTTCTCTAAAATATTAATTAATATAGTAAAATTTCTGATTCTTGCAATATAAATGTAATATAAGTAAATTTACTTTAATCTTGTGCCTTGTGGATCTGATAGAGTTGCAATAAGATCAGCACCAAGAGATTCCTCCAATTTTAAGGAATCTAACTGTTTACCTAGGTCTTGTACTTGAGAAATTATATCAACAACAGATTTTGTATCTTCTTTTTTGTCCTCTGCTTTTTCCTAATTTTATGGAAGCAGTGTAAAAAATATTCTTATGCTTTAAACAGAAGTTGTACAATATTTTTACGATATAAGCAACGATCTAATACCTTCAATTCATTTATTTCTTCGTACAAGTCTTTGATATCACACTGCAAACGATGAAATTTCTGAATTGGTGTTTCCTTTTCCCCCTCCCCAGGAAGTTCCCAGTCTTCGAATCTGAAATTATTTCATAAAAATTAACATGCACAAATCTTTCTTTCGGACTGATTTATAAAGAGAAAATTTACTTGTAGCCTGTCTTTGGTCTCAGTGATACACTATCAGAGAAATCAATTCCCTTATTGACAACATGTTTACCTTTAAATTTATTAAATGCTTCTGTGGCACTTATATGTAATTTTTCTATGGAATCACTTTCATCCTACGAAACGAGAATATTAACAACAATTCGTGAATACTTATAACAGAATAAATAAATAACAAATAACATTTAACGTTTTACCTCGGGATAAATTTGAAATTGTTCAGATTCTGGTAAATCGGTTGTCTCGTATACATCAACTTGATCATACGCCTATTTATGCAAACAATATTTTAGGGAATTAGAAAATTTTAATTTTTAGTATAACATTCTAAATTCACATTACGTTACAATTATTTCGGCATAGTTTTGTCGTCAGGTATATGAAGTACTTACAATGCCAGGTAAATCGGCATATTTAGGATCGGCCATTTTTTACAGCTAAGGGAAAAAGTATTATCGCTTTTTAAATAATTTTTTACAACGTAAGAAACTCTTACGTCTTCCACTAACAAGTGACAATACGAAGGTTTTGTTTCGAAATATCAAGATCGAGAACGAAAATAGCAATATGTCAGTGAACACCCAGTTTTACCACAGACAAGACGATTTTAAGTATTCGCTTTCATTCGCACGACTTCCGCGATATCTTCCAGGAAGTATATGCACTAATACAAGAAAGTGGTAATTTTGAACGAAGTTAGCCTTAAAAAGAGAGTGTATATTTTTAACAATTTAATAATAATAATTTAATTATAGTTTAAAATATGGTTAATTCCGAGACCTGCGCGAAATCATATTCATAATTCGACTATCACAATCGACCGTGAAGTGTATTATTTCAGAAGACATAAATAAAAATGACAATGCCACGATCATTACGAGGAATGATGAAAAAAAAATATATTTTAGCCCGTAATTCAACTTACAGGAGCAACCAAAGTTTTCAGAATAATTAAATTCAAATTAGTATAAATTTCGCTTTATTGATTATCAGTAAATGAAAGTAAAGAGAAAAAGATGAAATATTTGGAAGAAATAGTTATTTTATTATTACAATTCTTCGTGTGTAACAGAAAATGAAGACCTTTCTGTGGGGAAGCCCCAAAAGAATGTAGGATATCCTTTAATCTCTCTTTCTCTAGCAACAAAAGCTGAAAAAGACGAAATACAATTTCCTATAAAATAATTTGCTCTTCCAAGAATAGCTAAATCTAAATGGGGCGATGCGGGCGAATCTTGCTCAAAAACCGACACCTGTAATAAATGAAAAGATATTTATCAAATTCTGTTAATACATGCGTGTTTTATAGACAATATTGTATATATTATCATGAAATATCTTGACAAATTTCTTACTTCCATACGCGCTAGAGCTTTAGTAAGTTCTTCTGTCATGTAATTATTGTCAGATGCTACAAATACCGATCTGATATCATTGCCATTACGTATAACGCGTTTGAGATGGCGTACTATTAAATCGAACGATGGCAAACACATAGCAGAAGTTGCTTTACCACGTTCATTTCGATAACCAAGACACTGGGGAGCAGCAAAAAGGTTTGGTGTACTTGATATAAATTCACAAGCACGAACCTATAATGAACAAAGGAAAAATAATGCATACTTTTTATTTATATTTATATCATACTGTTTTATATTATTTTTTAGTTAGTAATTTATAAAATAATAGAGATGTATACCCAATCAATTCCATTACGCAAATGAATTCCTACAAAAGCTCCCTTTGACAATTTCTGTTTTATAAATGCTTTTGCTTTATCAAGCATCAGTGTGTTCCATTCGAGACATTTGTGTAATTTTTTATTTTCTAACTGAACAGGAAAACTAGCAGGTGCACCTGTAAACGCTAATACCGGCCAACTTACTGCAGGGTATCGTTTTCGCCATTGTATTGCCATGTCTGTATGATATACATCGTAATGAAGAGGGCCATAAAATTCTGATTTTACAAAATCTATGTTATACGTGTCCCAGAATGGACCGAATGGATTCCCCTCTTTAGCATTGCATGAATCTTTTTTGCCACGCGCGGAATAACAGAAAGCTAAAAGCAATAGCATGTCTCAGAAAGATATCTAATCTTTTTGTACAACATCCAAAACTTACATACTCTTTCCTTAGGTTGCCATATTCTCTCTGCAATACCATTCATGAAATCTTCCATTAATATTGCTTTATGGCAACTTTGTACTTGTGAGACATTAAAATATTTATCAAAAGGAACTTGTATCTAAGAAATAAACGAGAAATACTTAATCATAGAATGTAACTGTTTTGTAAGATGTTAAACAATATCGATTACTAACAGATCTAGTTTCCCCAGTTCTATATTCGACCCATGGTGGTAGAACCAAAGTACGGTTTATTGCTTTTGCGAATCCTAAAGCACCCAAAAAGTGATCTGCTTGATTTCCAAATCTTCCTGAAATCCATAACCGTAGTATGTAATTATTTTTTATAAGGATAAAGGCTAGGTTCAAAAGTATTGTTACAATCTTACCCATACATGGACAGTAAACAATATAACCGTTTGTATCAATATTAAAATGTTCGCAATATGAGCTATAAAACTTGGTCAGTAACAAAATTAAAAAAATAATACTGAACATTGCGATCAAATTTTCTCAATCGAATTTGCGCAATGTAAATAATTTATCGCATTGTACGTTTTAAGTATAGAATATGACACCGCGTCAACCTATAAACTGTCTAGTGATACTTTATACATTTCCTTCATTACTATGGATACGTGCATTGATCATTGAAAATATAGAAATACGTCTAACACCAAACATGGGAAACGCAGGGACAGAATAGGGACATTACACATTGTTTCTAGCATTTCAAATTTATTGTATTGCAATTTTCAGAATTTTTACATAATTAAATGAGTTTGATACATCTTAATTCTATAGGCATTTTAATTAAGCTAAAGTTAAAGAAAATGGAATTAATAATAAATTCTTTTAAGTAAAAATGTACATACATATATATTTTTCAAGGATATACACATTTTTTCCTTTATACGAGGGGCTCGACGAGGAACATTTGCGAAATGCGCCCTCCAACCCATTTTAATGACACAGCAGGTTTCTGAGCGGTCGAAATAAAGGGATACGTATTTTTTTTTAACAGCAGTAACCCAAGATTAAGGGGTGAAATATTCTCCAAATTTAATCCGATGCTATTTTCAAAAGTATTGAATATGCACGAAATTCTTTTAACGATCGGATAAATGAAGTGCATCAGAAATGATCCAACTCTATTCTACGATCGTTAAACAAATTCTATATCAAAATGGGGGAAGCATCACTTTGTGGATGTTTCCTGCGAGAATCATAATGGTGCAAGTCAAAAAAAAAAAATAAAAAATTGAGCTATATCATGATTTCATGCCCTGGCAACACTCTATTATGATTGTATCAAAATGTGTCGTGCCTGGCGTACACCATTTATGAATCCTCAGTTTTTTCGCATACTAGAAGTATAAACATTGATATTACTTAAATTGTAAAGAAATATATATAGCCATAGATATCTGGCGAGGAAAAATTACACAGACGATTACAAATAAATGTGTGATAAGTAATTTATAATTATATCAAGTTTATAAAATATTTTGCGAATAAAATCGTACTATAATCCCATTAGTACAGTGCTAGTGGTAATAGGCGTTTGCGAGGGCGCGCTAGCTTGTCTTACACTCATTTCCCAAGTGTCTAATAATTGAGAAACAGAGAAGCGACGAGGAAGTTTCGTTATACGCGCATTTAAAGCCTTTTGCACGGCACAGAGAAACGTTGTAGCGTATTCATGGGGCGCCATAACGCAACGAGGCGGCGTAAGGGGATAATCAGCCGGAACTGTAACCGATACTGGTGGAACGCATGGAAGATGACGATCATCCAACCAACATATTAACTGAGTACACTTAGATCCATTTTGTTGCGCTGGATCAAGGCTGACCTATGCACACATATACGCACATATATACATATGCGCACTTTACGAAAAAAAAAATTATATAACGTAATGATAAATAAGTTACCTTAAATCGTTGATCTAATCGAGCTATTTCTCCTTGTAATACGTCTGGTATATCGCTAAGAGATTCTTCTATTTTCTGCTTTTTCAGCGGCGGTGGTAAATTTCTATTTGTACAAAGAAAATATCATTAGCGACATCGTGTAATATAATTCTTCATAGAGAAATATAAATAACGCTCACTTTATTTCTGGGCCAAACAGAGCTTCTAAACATGGACCAAATGTACGTTGCAATGTATGATTTACCACCGGGCTTTGAAGATGCGTGCTTACTGTTTCCAAAAGCGGACTGAAGAAGTGATGTTCTTTCAATGTTGGTACCGGAGGTCCAACGCTAGCATCGCTTCGTTTGAAGTCCACTTTTTCAAGAACAACTTCGCACTTTAATAGCGTATCCATTGGCATACGTTTGCTAGGATTCGATAAAATTTCTAGAAGCTTCTTCATTTTGCTCAATTTATCGACATCTGCAATGAAAATAAATGTGACAATTGATAGTGGATGTATGCAAATGTATGCATTTAATCCCTAGATTACTTACTTCCTTCGTTACCCATTTTAGCGATCATTCTTCGTAAGGGCTCAATGTATTTACTCAATTGTCGAACTTTATCTCTGTATGCTTGGTCCTCCTGTTGTGGACTTGGAGTAGCACCAACACCTCCAGGAGTGTTCAAAGAACTACTAGGAGATGGTGCCATGCCTAGTTGAATATATAATATTTATTACTGTTTTTATTTGTATTTGAAATTATAAACTTTAGATTGTAAATTGTTTTTAACATACCTACAGATCGTTGCGGTCCTCCCATTATAGCATGCTGTGGGCTTGGTGATGGAACTAATGCTGGAGATGCTACCATCTGGTTACTATACAAAATATTCTCTTTTAAACATGTACGAATACGCTAACATATCTGAAATATTATTCTAGATCAATAACCTTGATGGTGCACTTAAACCAGCTGGACTTGGAGCTGACGGCGATGGACTTTGTCTTAAAAACTGATTTGCAGTAACATTTCGAGGACCTGCAAATCCAGTGTTTATCATTTCACCTGGCTGAAAGTGAACATTCTTGTAAACGTTTAAAAATATTGTGTATGTATATATGTACTACTTCTTGATCTTTATACTTTTCTCTGCATGTGATTCAACTGCTGTTGCATCTGAGCAGGGCCCAATTGCCCCGAAGCAATTTGATTCATCTGCTGTGGCATGCTAGTTTGAATCCCACTTATAGATCCACCGATTTGATTACTTATTTGACTGGATAATTGATTCTGCATTTGAGTCTAAAATGTGACATGTATTTTGGCATTTATTTGTATATTTATTACAAAAATTGAAAATGATATGTTCGTTATCAAAATATTTATATATACCTGCATGCTTTGCTGCATTTGCCCTGGAGTAATTTGTCCCATAGGATTAGGAACTACTTGATTCATTTGTGGAGGGATTTGTCCTGGTCCCATTTGATTCATCTGTGTCAGCATTGAATTATTTTGCATGGTCTGGATTGAACCCATATGACTCATTGGGCCACTGGTTTGGGCAGGCATCATACCCATTCCTGGCATTTTATTTTGCATACCTTGCATGGCCATAGTTTGTCCAGGACGTTGATTTAAGCTTTGCAATACTAACAAAAATCAATAGTACAATTAAATTATTTGTTGCAAATAAATGTGTAGTTGTATTATCCCATGAAAAGTTGGTATATGTATAAAAGAATTCAGAATTAAGTGTTAAATATACACATAAAATAATGCAAATGCTATATTTTGTAAAGAGTATATTTTTTCAATTTACACATGATTAAATATATAATTTACTTATATAACTAGAATATTTTAGAAAACATAATGCAGACAATGAAAATTGATATACAATTATATAAAATTAATTTAATAGTTCGTTATAAAAAAGTAAGGCACATATTTTATCATTTAATCGCTTCGTACATCTTAAATACATATATTACAATGATATAATTATGATGATGGTGATACTTCTTCAAAATGCTCATTTTCAACTGAAATTTCTTCATTCATAAACTTTTCAAATGCTTCCATTAAAGGGTAAAAGAAAAATATTTTTATCATATTCTCAAGCCTATCTATGTACATTTTTTTTATTTTTTTTGGTATATTTTTTCCACATATATATTCGTACGAAATATCTTTAGTTTGTAGATTTTCATCCAATTGTAGCTTTAAAATAATAATATCTTTAGAACTTGTTTTCTCTAAGTTTTTTGGCCAGCCTTTTTCTATCAGCAATACTTTTAAATAGACCAGTGATTTATCTATATCAAATGCTATATCTCTATAAGTTTCGTTCACTTTATCAAACACTTGATGCACATATGTTAATCTCTGTACAAAATTGTCTAACAAAATCTTGATTTCGTGCACCATGTTGAGTACTCTGTGTCCAATAGGATTATAAACACCATTTTTTATTTTGTTATCAAGTTTGATCACTTCTGGTAATCGGCTGTATCCTAAACTGATGTACCATTTGCGCAATAGATTAATATATTTAAGTGTTATTACAAACTTGATGCCTTCTACAGAAGATTCATTAAAGACAGGTTTATAAATATAAGATACACGATTATCTGTTATATCAACTGCCATACCACATTTCTTTTTTATCTCTTTTGCACAATCTTTTTTTTCATGTAATGTATCCTTCCAAAACTCATGGATTCCTTCTTCATTATTTCTATGTTCAATATATCGTTGAAATGAAACTTGAGATGGTGAATTCATTAATCTGTTATATGCATCTGAGTTATCTGAATCATAAAGAAATTCACTTTCCACAGAACTGGCATATTGTGAGTAATATCTGTTAGTCAATTTTGGCATTTTTTCAAAATTTGTTTATATATAAATAGTGATTACAATCTTTTATAATAACAATGATTAGGTTAAGTTTCAGTTTGCTACAAAATAAAAATATTTGATAAAATTATCAATTTATAACATTAGATATTACTAAGTATTTAAATCCAATACTTTTGAAATATCTCTGTCCAAGAAAAAAGATTCTAAATTTCAATATTGCTTTGATTCTATTGTATGTTCCTTCAGATACAACGCATACCCCTTGTTAAACATATTTAAACTATAGTCCTTCCACGAGAAGAAGGCATCGCGTGTTTACATCCTCACTCCTGCTGCAGTCTGCTGACTCACAGGTGATGACAGCCAATCAGCGGATTGCAGCAAGAGTGGGGGTGTAAACACACTGTGCCTTCTTCTTGTGGAAGAATAGTACCCTCTTGGACTTTGCTGAAACTTGAATATGTGTAGTTTTTAGTGTCAGAGTTGAGCATACCTCAAAGGGTTTTTGATACCTCAAATCATTTGTTTTAATAAACTCGATTTTTTGACAGTTGAAAATAATACCCATGTACAAAATTTTGAATTTGAAGTTGCAGTTTCACTACATAGTATTTTAAGGAAAGTAAATCTCTAAAAATGCAAAAAGAAGTTTGATAACTCCAATTTCTTGAATAATCTGTTGCATAAATTATTGCAAGAAATTCCATTAGATGTTGCATGTCACATATGATTTCTGCATGATGATACACCATCCTGTTTTAGTACTTGAACTAATGATTTTCTAATAAGTGAATAGGTCTTGCAGGACTTGCTGCCTGATTTGCTCATTTCCAAAATTTAAATCTATTTAATTATTTTTATTTTTGGAGCCACTGAAAAACATTTATTTCTTCACTATCGATTGTTATTGTTTTAATATTTTGGCGACATATAATTAATCCAAAAAAATTGTTTTGTGTTCTCAATCAAAAGCTGAAGTGAGTTCCACATGTTAGAATACACTCTATATATTGTGGGATATGTAACTTTATCACATCATATGTGCAATTTACTCTTTTTCTTTTTGTAATGAATGTGTACTAAATGTATTGTAGAGAAAAGGAAATATCAATCCTGGCAGATATTGAGTCAAATGTTTTAGTTGGCCTTTGAAGGCCTTAAATATTGATGTCATATTATTCTTAATCCATTCTTTTTTTTTTCCTTGTATTGATATTATTCAACTCATACTGAAAGATTCAGAACAAATGAATCAGGTGAGTGGTATGATTAGTAAGTTATTGCATTTAATATTATGTATGTAACAACATAGATCAGCAACCTACCACTCTGCAAAAGTAGATTAGAATCGTAAGTGAACAGATTGCTTTACTCTTCTTGGGGAAGAAACTCACAATTTGTAGCAGTATTCGTAGGTTGTTGTTGAATTATTCCTTGAGGATTGGATCCTGGCCCGCTCATACTCATCATTTGATTAATACCAGTCCCCTGACGTGCTAATGTTTGTAGTGCCCCAATTGGATCTGGCATCCCTTGATTTCCAGAACCAGCTGTACCCGGTGCAGCACCTCCTGCACCCTTTTTAGAATCTGGAAAGGATGAGACAATATTACATACAAATTTAAGTTCTATAATCTAAGTTCCAGGTAACAAATGAAATATATATTACTTAGTTCTCTGACATGTAGGATCAATCTAGCAACAAAACCTAAATATTCTTCCTGCAATGAAAAAAATTAATGTTATCAATGAAACTAATTAAGAATTTGATTTTCTAAGAAATAATGTGTATATTTTTTTTTTTGTTGAGATATTGGTAAGGAGAACAAAGAGATTAACAACAAACCTTGGTTTTTGCTTTTTGAAAAACATGATTTTCCATATCAATGCTATTTCTTGTTGTAGGCATTCCGGATGATTGTACAACTTCATCTCTGTGAGAAAATATACATGTTTCATTTATTTTTCTTGAATATGTATACATATTTAAACAATGAATGCTCCTTTTATCGTTGATTTTATATTATTAAACTATGTATCATTAAAATCATATAAATCAAAATATTTATCAGTTCAAATTCGATTCACACAAAGTAACTTACATTTTCGCAATTACACTTTGTCGAAAATTTTGCGTTTTCCAAGAATTCTCATCCGTTGCCATTTTTTATATTGAATGATTAAGTACACAATTAAAACAAGCTTTTTTTTGCCAGAGTAACTTTAACAACCAAACATCTATATAGTAAACTCTGAACTTTAAAGCCTAAGTCTCGAACTTAGAAAGTCTAAGAGTCTAAGTTCGACTTTCGCAGTATAGTCACGCAACTCTCGCACAGTTCGAGACATAAAGGTAATTGTAAATAGCCTGAGCCTCCTTACTGCGTTTCTATGAAAATGATAATTGCATTTATGTCGTTATATTTATACGATGCATCGTATACACTACTCAATGTAATAAATATTATTATCAATTATATGTTGAAAACTATTTCTTTTTAAATCTGAGAAAAAATTATAATCGTTCAAAATATTAAATCAATTAATTTTACATAATTAAATAGTATAATATTCTCTTTAAATATAGTCAACAATTCTTGGATATTTGGTTCGAGTGAAAAAAAAATTTAAGCTTGACTTAATCTTAAGCGGGAAGTGGGAATTGATTCATGAAAATGCCGTGGAACATTATTCATTGGCCATCATGTTCGATCATGTTCGATACTCTCTTCTGCTCTCTTCCTTTCAACCTTAAAATAAATGTATACTTTGTAAGTAACCTCTATACTCATAATGGCAGAGTTGATATTAACGGAGGAAGGATTAATACAAAAACATAAAAAGGAACGAAAGGAACTACAAGGTGATCAAATTAAGTAACTCGAAACGTTAATTATTTTCCATTTAAATTACGCTGTCACATTTGGAATGTCAAAACGTTGCAAACGTTGCTTTTATAGTTACAAAATAATTTGTCTTTATTAGTATTTTGTATCATGGAAGTTCATAAATATGTTTTTAAATATAAACTTTAAATTATTATATTTAAAATTTTAGCACAAATACAAATATTGAAAAAGTCAATTTGCAAGGGTGACAAAAAGAAGAAGAAAGAGGTTACAGAGGAAATCAGTCGTTTAGAAGAAACATTAGATGAAAGACAAGAAGAAGAATCTACCAGATGGAGAGTTGCACATCTTAATATTAATAACACAGAAGATGACAATATAGAAGATTATAGTAATGAAGTGATTAAAGATGATGCACAACATGAACAGTTAACGCATAGAGTCTCAAAAGCACAGAAGAGAAGAGACAAGAAAGCAAATGCAGAGAAAGAACGCAATCAGAGAATAATAGAACAAGAAGCATTAAATGTTTTTGGCAAAAGAAATGTAGAATTGCAAGCTATAAAGAAAATTCTTCACGAACGCGATCTAATGATGTTCGATATTCCAAGCGATGGTCATTGGTAAGACATTTATTTTTAATGTATTAATTCTGTGTTAATTGTAAATATTTATAGTTTTATATTAATTATATAACTTTTATAGTTTGTACAATGCTGTTGCACACCAATTGAAAATTATAGGAGAAACGCCATTGAATTTTCAAGAGCTCAGATTGAAAACTTCTGTATATCTGAGAGAAAAGATGAATGAATTTTTACCATTCATTTCTAATCCAGATTCTGACAATTTACTTTCGCCGGAACAGTATGAGAAATATTGCAGTGACGTGGCAGATACAAATGCCTGGGGTGGTGCTATCGAGGTGAGATGAAATTAAATTTAACGTACAATAAAGTTTTAATGATTGTACTATACTTATGTAATTACTTTTAATTAAAATAGCTACAAGTTCTTTCACATGTATTAAAATGTCCGATCGAAGTTGTTCAAGCATCGGGAGCACCTTATATTGTGGGTAATGAGTATAGTAATGGGAAAAAGATGATATTGACTTATCATCGTCATATGTATGAACTAGGTGCCCATTATAACTCTGTTACAAAATATGTTAAAGCAGAAGAAAGCTGATAAAGATGGGTTAATGTTTTTAATTAAGAAATTAAGCTTGTAATTTCTTAATACATTTTACTGAGATAAAATGTATGAACCATTTAAAGAGCTGCCACAATTTGTCCAGGAAACATATCAGTCATATCTTAAATTAATACTTAAATGTTTCTCTGGTAACTAGCCATATACTTAAAAAATGAATAATATCTGTTAATAGTCAATTAGATTAAAAATATTAAGATGCTATAAATCAGTAGGTCTTCCTTTAATTTTTTTATATATAAATGGTTATTGCATCACTATAAAAATTATATTTATTTATTACCTAAATGTTTGACAATATACGTAAAGAAGCTGCCAATGAATAGCAAGTATACATTGTTCAATACTTGGTCTGAAGTTCTAATGTAAATATCTATTTATTTTTAATTATGTTTAACGTTTTTTTATATTAAATGTTTCATTTTACATGAGAGTTGAGCAATGATGTATTCGAAGAAAATTTATTAAAGCAGAAATGTTAAAATTATGCGCATGTGTGGAATATAGTAATACTTTTCTGATGTGTTCTAATAGATTTATACCATTTTGGTGGCGAGTAATGTGTATAAAATATGAAATAAAAATGATAAAATATTGAAGCAACTATTAGTCTCTGGAAATACAATTTATTTATTTTCGGATTTTACATTCAATGTTTTCATATTGATGTATAAGTTAAAGTCACAGCATAAGATCTTGCTTCATTTATCTACATTACTTGCATTGCTGTCACATGGCGTTTTATCATTTTCTGATACTCCTTTGTTTTTGTTTGGATCATCTGGTTTCATTTGTGGGAACAACAGTACCTCCTGGAATTATAAATATACGTTTAATGTCACTTCCTCTTTTCATTTTTGTTTATTGTATAGGAATATTTACCTTAATGTTATTAGCATCTGTAAGGAACATAGTAAGTCGATCAATGCCCAATCCCCAACCAGCAGTTGGCGGTAAACCGTATTCCAATGCAGTACAAAAAGTCTCGTCAATTAATTGTGCTTCATCGTCACCAGCTGCCTTGTCTTTAGCTTGTTGCTCAAATCTGTACACATACGGAACAAATTGTTTGTATTTTGGTCAAATTGTTATTAATGAAAATTATTTTAATGAATAACCTTTCTCTTTGGACCACAGGATCATTTAATTCTGTATAAGCATTGCATACTTCTTTCTTCATAATAAATAATTCAAACCGTTCTGTAAGACCTTTTTCAGAACGATGCCATTTTGCTAAGGGAGACATAATTTCTGGGTGATCCAAAATGAATGTAGGGTTGATACAAGTTTCTTCTATAAATTCACCAACGAGCTGTTTAGAATATGTATATACATATATATTTAGTGGATATATACATACATATAATTATACTGTCCAACAAATTGAAACGATCTCTCTGAACTGCAATAACCAACGAGCGATTAAAAGAAATGGTCTTACCTTGTCTAGCATTCTAGTCGCTGTTCTCGGTGAAGAGCATTCAACTTCATGTTTGATACAGAGTTCATTAAGTATCTGATTTGCTTCTGGTGTATTCAATTCATCTGGTGAAGGTAATTTTACTTTTAATACTTCTTCTAGAGTCTTCATCATAGATACTCGTTTAAAAGGGGGAGTAAAATCAATTTCCACTGCTTCTCCATCTGGACCATCCGGATGATACAGTATTTTGTAACTACCGCATATGGTTTTCACCAATCCAGATATCATTTCTTCTGTAATAGACATTAAGTCATTATAGTCTGCGTAGGCCATGTAGAATTCACAAGTAGTAAACTCCGGATTGTGCGATAAATCGATTCCTTCGTTCCTGAATTGTCTTCCAATTTCATATACTCTGTCCAATCCACCAACTATTAGCATCTGAAAATGTAAGCAGTATTATGTTAATAAAATTTGTATATGTAATAGTTAATTATGATTACACAGAGTGAGATAGACAAAGTCTAAGACAGATTATTCGAATAATTTATTTACTTTTGGTAATAGGCAAAAATGCTTTAAATAAATTTTCCTTGGTTTCAAGGGGGATATAATGTGATGTTTATATGAATTAGTAATATTTTACACCGAAAGTAAATTAATTATTCAAGTGGTCCATCTCTTATGTATAGCAGTATATATTACTTTAAGATATAATTCTGGAGCAATACGCATATACAAGTCCATATTTAATTCATTGTGATGTGTGATAAAAGGTTTGGCTGTAGCACCACCAGCTATCATATTCATCATTGGTGTTTCAACTTCCAAAAAGCCAAGGTCGTCGAGATACTTACGGATATACGCTATTAGTTTTGCTCGCGTATGAAATGTTTTTCTTACTCTCTCATTTAATATAAAGTCTAAATAACGTTGTCGGAACCTTGTTTCCTAAACAATTAAAAATAGTATAATTATCAATAATAGGAAATGATATGTTAGAATGAAAATGCAGTCACTTCTTTGCACCTTATCTTTTAATCCAAAGTAAAGATTTGGTAACATGTGTAAACAGGGACTTAGAAGGATAATACTATGTGACATGATAGAGAATTCACCCTTTTTGGTTCTCCCAGGATTTCCCGTAACACCAATAATGTCACCTCTTCTTATTTTAGAAATATCACTTATGAATTTTTCATTGTCCTCGTAAAGTCTTGCATTTGCCATAACTTGAATTTTAAGGCCTTCTGCCCTTAGGTCATAAAAAACTAGTTTGGCACCAGATTCCCTAATAGCAAACACACGGCCGGCAACACTGTGTACTTCATCTTTTAATATTTCTTCATCTTTCACTTTGTCATTAAATTTTTCAATGAAATTTTCTAATGACATCGATACATGAAACTTGTGTGGATAAGGGTTATTATTTGTAATTTTAAGATGATTAATTGCTTGAGTTCTGAGTTTGATGTATCCCTGAAAAACAGTAAATTAAATTAAAATTTTGTATGTTCAACTTGATAATAACAATTATATAATTGTATATAGTTATTTACATTTGAAATGATATCCTCTTCTATAATATCATTTCTTTCCTTAGATTTGACTTCACCTTTTGCTGCTTTTAGTGCTAGTGCCTGTGCCTCTTTTTCAGCATTTTCTTTTAATTTCTGTTCTGCTTTCAGTCGTCTTTTTAATTCACTGTAAGCATGATCACAACACTTAATAGTTTTCATCCATTGTTTAAACGAACGTAATCCCTATTAAGTTGTACGCACTTTACGTGAAAACGGCGTACAGTTATCTGATGTAATTTTGCAGGTTTTTTATTAGAAAGTACCGGCTGTATCGCGCCAACGTATGTTTTGGTTATGTTACGCAGCATAGTTAATTAAAACTACCCTTGTTATTATATCAACAATTTATGAGCACATATATATAACAAATATGATTGATCATAAAGTTTTACAAGATTGCACTATCTAACACTTAGAAAAAAATACATCAATGAAGACACTTGTTCATTAAACAACGTGGGTGGCCAGACAGTGACATTGGCTACTGTTTTATGTAACATATGTCAGGACTATAGATATAGATAAAAGATAGCTTTGGATAGGCATAAAAAATGAATTTGTAAATCTAATTTCTTCTCAGTATTTATATTTTACTCACTTTTTTGATATTTTTTCACTCGTAGTGTCCGCCATGTTGATAAACCTCCGTTGAAAGGATTCGTCCATAGTTCCATGTAAGTTGGTGAACCTGTAAAGTGTTTTCATCTGTCAAGTTATACGATCGGTTAACTTCCTTTGCAACTCATTATAATTTTATATTAATTCTGTAGTTTAACATTGTTTCTGTTTAAATATTTCACGTAGAAATCTTTGTTATTTCGATCACGATTTTTAAAGTGCGTGAAATCGAGCGGGAAAATAATCTCTTCGATTAGGCACGACTGTTACCCGCGTGGAACATTTAAAATGTAGTATCCTGGCAACCGTATCTGTTGATTCGCGCTTTTGGAATCGTTCGTTTCGGTGAAGAGTGTTTTCTATTTACTGTAAAAATGGAAGGCTGTTTGGGGTATCAAGATATAAAGGCGTTACAAGATTTGGTTTGTCCACCAAAAGATAGTGACTCTGATGATGATTTACCACAAGCTGGTGCGCGTAAACTTGGTAAGTCGAAACGATTTGAAAATCTAACTCTTCCATTTGCTCGTTGCATTCCTTGTGTTATTGTCACAACGATTCAAAAACCTTGGTTCAAGTGAAGATACAAGAATTATTATCATATATGTAAAACTGGGAAGGTTATTTCCTTATTGCAATGATGGCGTGTATTATAAAACAGCACAGCTACAACAGTTCATGTTCTCAACATTGTCGATATATTTACTATGTATTAATTCGAAAATATAGCATTAAATTTTTGTGGCCACTTCAAAGGAAATATTTATTACGACCATCCAACGGTGACACCTATGAACTAATAATATGATTTCTAAAAATATCTGTTGTATTCGCGTGTGGTAAATAAATGATATTAAAAATGCTGAACCATAAACGAGGTATAAAATATATCCTATACTTCGTCTGTGGTACAAATAGACGTTATAAGCTAGTTTTTTTTGCCATATGGATTGGGGGTTTCCGAACTTCTTTACCATTTCTGTATCACTAGCAACGTTATCGATCCAGACTAGAATGTTACCTCTGCGCTCCTAGCGGTTGGAATTTAGACTACGTATCGAGAAAAACAATTATCCCCAGAGCAATCAGATTCAAACCACAGAAGTGATCAGTGACTCTAGTAAAATTTAAGGTATTAATATTATTAATTACTTTGTTCAAGGGCCTGGCCATATCGGCGTTGAAAGTGCGACAAATGTGGTGTCTGGGCAACACGCGGGGCCGCATGCACCGCTGGAAGAAGGAACCGATGATATTTGGCATCCATCAGAGGCAGACGCCGCACATGTTTCCGAAGCTTATGATCCGAGAGAGGTGCCGGAATACGAGATGAAATTTAAGCAGGCGGTGACAGCGGAGGATGTATTTTTAAGTGTTAGTGTTCTATCGGCCGGTGTCGGAGTCATCGTTCTCCTCCACGATTTAATAAACAGAGTATTCAGCCACCCTTGGGGAAAATTGTAATGGGAGATTCTAGAAGCGAAAATAGGCTTCGTTAAAAAGTTATTAACGTTTAAAGTTGTCCTTTAAAATTTTTCCCACGGGTGGTCGAACCACCCTGTATTATCGACTATAACTATGACACGTTGGTAGATCAGATGGGCTTCAAAACGCCGAGCACCGCGTCTTGCGAGTGGCTGTCCATCCTGGTGAAGATGCCGCGGGAGTCGCACGACAAAATCGAGCTAAACGTGGAATCCGAGGCAATCGACGTGCGCAGCCCTAGGTGAGACAACGTATCAATGGCGTATTCATAGATTTATCGCCGATTTCGTAAAGTTTTATTGCCTTGATCTCGAGACGCGTCGGAATTTCCTTGGCAATTTTACGAGGCAGTAAATCTGTCGAAACGTAAAACCAGTCACGATCTTTCAGATATCGGCTTCACCTCGCGACGCCTCATCCGGTTGATCCCAGCGTCTCGTCCGCCAAGTGGCACGCCGACGCTTCCGCCTTAGAGGTTATACTGAAGCTTGTACGCGAATTGGACGACGTGAATTTTTAATCCGCCGTTATGTCGCTTTGTCTCCGTATAGAAGCACCAATACGTAACCTTTATCTAGCTCGTAATCTAGCTCGTAACCTTTGCTAGATGTTAGTTTTTACGAGGGTACACGGCATGGCGCATTATACGGGGGTTTCCAAACATATTGACAATGTATAAAGTTCGCAAAAGCGGGACAGGATAGATTAAAAATTGATTTGTCGAGAAATAACGAGATTGGACCGTTCAGGATTGGAGAAATATTGTCCTCCTCGATGAATCAAAATTCAATCAATTTGAAAGCGATGGGACACGATGTTGGACTTCCAGTTGACACCAGAAATAACGTCGGATATCGGCCAACATCCATGAAGCATGGCAGAGGTAATAGAACAGACGAGGTGTACGAATAGACCTTTCACCTTATGGACTTTCGTGGCCCGATCCGACTGCCATACCGACCCGAAAATTCGAAGGTGATTTTAGCGTCCTCTTCTCACGGATGGCGGTCAGCCGAGAAACTATTCACTGAATTAGTAGTGATAGGCAAAGAACGTAATTTTCAAACGACCATAACACCTACAATAGGAAATACATTTCAATGAAACTTTTTTCCGAAATAGAGCTCATGGGTACCTACAAAAAAGTATAAGACAACTTTTCTGTACGGCGTCAAACGAAATTTTTATCGAATTTTTAAGGAAAATCGACAAGGGTGCCTGAACTTTTCGACGAAATTGATAAGTTTCAAATCACTCTGGAAAAATTATTTTCAATCTCAGGGGTCTATCGCAACCATTTTTGATCAGTACACATACCCTCGAAATCCTAACAATTTTCGAGAAAAAAAATTCCTAATAGTATCGATATTAGATAAGATACTGGAGTTCAGGTTTAGAAGTAGAATTACAACTGCACTTTCTGTGCACGCTTTATGTACCAGCATCTCATCGCGCGGTAAATAAATATTTTACGCTACAGTGCCATAAACTTTGCGCAAACGGGGACGAATATTATTAAGATAAATTAATCTCGAGTATTCTTAGTTCCATCTAGTCTGGTACTTTGCTGAAATATTCCAAGTTCCGTCTGTTCTTAGACCTGTGAAGTATTCTTGCGCAAGACATTAGTCTTTAATCGGCTTTACTCGGTTCGTGGAGCCATGTCGGTCGATTACTCTCTGTATGAAATTCTCGCTCCACCTGCGCCACGTGAAACGGACAGGACTTTTAAACGATCATTTCCATAATCCCGCGGACTCGTTTGTCCTTCGACGTGGATGCAGTATTATTCAAATTGGTTGCGCGAAGATTGCGATTCGCGTTGGAAAACCGAAAATGGCCGAGCGTAGAAACGGTCGGATACAAAAAAGGAGAATTGGATACGACTGATCCGTTTACGGTGATTCCCGTTTTCAAACGATAAAACCGGCCGGGAAGGAAAGTGGAGTAGGATTTGTGATAATGAGGAGAGGAATTCGAGCAGAAGGTTTGAAATTTGGAGGTATGACGTGTTGGGGCGATTGAATGTAGTTGGGAGGGTGAGTGGGGGGTGGGATTTAGCAACGCGATACGGGAGATTAGTACGAAGCAGGTTGTGTAGGTAGAGGGGTAAACGAGTGGACAGCGTTTTGTAAACAAGGCAGTGGAGATGGAAAATCTATGTTAAACGAAGGAGATATATGACCATATTTACGAGTACAGTAGGCAAGACGAATGTATCGTTCGTGAAATAAAAATAAAAAGTTCCCATAGATACAGGTAAACGTTACCACATTGATATCAATATTACAATCACTCAGATTTCTTCGAAGGTGATCAAATTATTATTTAACATTTATTTTCATAGGGATGGGGATGATCCCCGTTTTGCTGTATCGAGGCACAGATTTTGTTTCTCGTGTCAGGGTATTTTTGGACTCTGCTGGCCAAAGAGACGCGCGAACTGATGATGAATCGAGGGAGTGACGGTAACAAATCCAGGCTGTTCAAATACCTGGGGAAAGCGTGCTCGAGCTTCTGGCATACACTCCACTAAATTACTCGATTCTTGGCGGGTCGAGTCGATTGCCAATCGTTCTCGGCGAAAAGCGAGGAAACGAGGGGAAAAGTCGGTTCTCGAGCGCGGTTTTACGCTCGTTCCCATCGACCGTTTCTTGGCCGGCGGAGTCGCGAACCGTGTTTCGAGATTCCCAGCATCGATACCCCGTTGTTATCGGGGAAATACGGCTTCGGTAATTTGTTTAAGGACTATAGAAAAAAAAAAAAAAACGATTACTGCCTTGTAAATAGGATGTTATCGGGCTCTATACGGGGGGTCTACGAGAGGGAGTTCTTGGGAGTTTTATTTATTGCGTCGCGTGTTACTGTCCAGAGACGTATTAAATTTTTACTTGTTCCAGACGAGACGTGATCGATACTACTCTCGTTAAAAGTCTTTCTAGCAGACCTTGTCTTAGACAACAGAGACATTAGAAGGGGTCAATCGAGTGCTTGCGAGAGAGACGAGAGCGTCGTAGCCCTCTGGCGACGAATAGGAGAGGTGGCGCCACAGTCAGAGCATAAAATGGGAATTATCAATAAATTGGCGATAAAAATAAACAGAGAATATAGTGTAGACCGAAATTAATTTCAAAATTGAATCGTTCCTTGACGTTAATGGCTTTAACATCTCGCGATGATCAAGTGGATTCGTTAAAAATAAAAACTTGGATTAAGAACCGCGAAATGTCCTACGTTTGAAAATGCTTGCTGTAAATTGCGCTCCGCATTCATTTATTCTAAAAAATTCTATGTTTACGTAATGTTGGTTCGCCCACGACTAGGTTCGCCGCTGTTGACCCTGCAAAAAAATTCTTTACGAACTCCGCACTAGTGTTTTTTAACGATTTCAATCCCCCCGCGAGGCTGAGTTTACCGTTTTACCGTCTCCGGATTTATTTCCGGCCGTTTTAAGAACGAATGTGAAAGTTTCGTCATCGTTGCGTGCGATCTAAGGCCCGTCTGCGAAGTTTCGCGAACTTTTTCCCGACGTTGTTCCCCGGTATTAGTTGAAACGGCCAATTAAAGAAATTGGATATCGATCGGACCGTGCAAGTTGTCCAGAGTTTCTTCGGTTATCAAATATTTTCTTACGAACATCGATCGCATGCCTTCGATTAAAGCTGTGCTCATTAACATTTAACGCGTCGAACGTTCGCGATGAACTTAAACAACGATATAATAAAATCAATACATAAAGGCGTTAGATAAGCGTTTATAATTTTAGAAACGTTCTAAATTTTAATTTACAAAATTGTACAGCCCTTTCGTATTTCATGTTACAAAATTGTGGTATTCATTTTGTTTTTTTTTTTTATCGATTACGGATCGGTTAGAATGCGACAGAGAATAAACTGCGTTTGTTTTATTATCGCTTCGAAAACGTGGACGAGAAAATAACAATTTTATGCATTCTCCAGCGGCGAAAGGACGGAACAAAATTCCCTGGACTGTGGTTTATACACTCTGTCGCGGGAAAGATATTTTATACAAGAGGTTTCCGGCGATGGTGAAAATCAACCGAATGGAAATTTCACATCTAGCTCAAGGAGACTGTATAAGCTGTTTACGTGGGAAAATAGGTAGAAAAAAATCGATAAACATAACAGAATGTAGTTTGAAGATAAAAATTCTGTTAGTTTTCCTATCAGCATCTATATACCTGAAATATCAAGGCGAACCCGTTGCATTTTCAAACGGGCGACTTTAGAAGTTAAATAAAATTTTATTATTAATTCTAAGGTAAATAGATAAGGTTCCATCCCGTTTGTACAATATTATTTTCTTCGTTTATTCCGTTTCAACAACGTTCAACGGATTCGATGAAACAGAAGATTTTCTTTAAAAATACCAGGATATTTTCAAGTTTGAAATTAAATAAGTTCTCAAAACGTTTCCGCGGTATTACATTATTCTTTTATTATGTTTTTAGCTAGGCGATTGGATATAACGGACGAGACCGCGTTTCGTACGTGGAATATCAATTTTCTTCATCGAGTCTGTCGAAAGCGTTGAGAGCTGAAGTTCGCGAACATTAGAACAGTTATTCGCGCGAGTAGCGATGCTCGTCTTGTCCAGCCAATTTCCTCGGAAATTCGAACATTTTGGGAACTTTGAAACAGTACACCTTCAACGTGTTCAACCGCGTGACCTGACGGTGACATATTGCATAATGCAGTGCTGCAACACATTGCGATGCATGAAGAGAGATGCACAACGACGCGATGTGGAGAACGCCAGTGTCCTCGATACGGCGAACGCGATTCTTCCGCGCGAATCGATCATCGAAGCTCTGTTCGGTAATACGAATTCGAATTTTTATTGACGTACATGCTTCGTCTTCCTCGATTGTATCACGCCTGTCGATAATTCTATGATTCTACGCTACTTATAACAATAAGAACAAATGTTACAGAGTACTATTTTAACACTTTACGAACACTTTAGCGGTTGAAATGTTACCGACGAATAGACCTTACATGCAATGTATTTTTTCGGTATTTTTTTATTTTTATTGGATCTTGAAACCCCATTACCATTTTCGTGTCACTCGTAACATTAACAACAGATTTAGAAATGAATTACTAAATTCATCAATATTAATTCAGTGACTAGTTTCTCATCCAACGAGGACGCTAAAATCACTTCCAAATTTTTCGCTCGGTAATTGTTTAAACTGATTTACAAAAAGACACGTATTAACAAAACTTAACGAATAGAAAGTGAGTAATACTCCAGATACGGAGGTTATACATATGTGTCTTGATAAATCTAAAAATTGATTCTTAACAGTGTTACCAGACGGCAGATTGGGGTCCAAAGTAAGCTCACCCCTCCATTTACGCACACCAATCCACAGCCACGTGTACGTGAGCGTAGGCGCTTTGGACAGCTTCGGGAATTCAAGAAAGAAGGCGAATGTGAGTCTTTCTTTCTTGCTTTCGAAACAGCTGAAATCTGATTTGTGTCATACTGCCTGCA